ATAAAAGAATTGAATGAACTTTGGATTTAACTTCCGTTACTGTGCAGATACATTATAAGTTATGAATATTTTTCGCAAATATTTGGCCCTGTAAGCGTTTGTTTCTATATATAACCCAAACCGTTGGAAAATCATTACAGTGCAAATAACCATGATTGTATGTACGGCAATATAACAAACTTTCATGACTTTATACATTGACAGAAGCAGTGTATATATATATATCTATATATATTATTTAAACATCCCTATTGTCCAATACAAATGTGCAGTATTATAATTATCGATGATTCAGGTATCATCATAAATGTATATTAAAGTATAAGCATGTTCATGTTGCCACATTTTCACATTGACACGACCTTTTAATCCAAAAACTTAATTAACTAAACTTAATATGTACACATAATAAAGTAGCCAGGATGTAAAATCACAAAAACAACATAAATTCATGGAACAACTGTTAAGCAATATGACAAAAATACTAGATTAACAGAATCATTTGAAAGAAATAACCATGTACACTTTGAATGAAGGCATAATCATATCCATCAGATGTGTGGTCCATGTTATAGCATATCCTGTCATTGATAGAAGTATTAAAACATCTACTCCCAATGCATTCCAGGGTGATACCAATGGTTAGACAGTTACATATTTGCATATAGATTTAAAGCAACATGCCTCCAGATTCATGTTAGTTTTCAAGAACATTTTTAAAATGTACTAAAAAGGTAAAATATTGTCACATTAACAGAGACAGTAATTTACACATTGCAAACCGCACTTAAAATCTATGAAAATTATCAAAAATGTCATAATATAAAAATTAGCCCTTACTGTGTTAGAAATGCAATAGAAATATGGTGATGAATACTGCAAAATCAATAATTCATTGAATTTTTTATGTGTATCATTTCTTCAATTGTGAATATATTTATACTTTTGTTGAAATTTGAGTATATTTTTCTCAAGGCTGACTTTTTTGACACATTTTATCTCATCAGACATCTGAAAGCATGTAGCTTTAAAATTACATGTAAAGTTGGTCAAGTACTTATATTTAATTAACGAAAATTATGGTAAAAACAAGGAATAAAAAACTTTAATTTGTTACTTATCTCTAAAAGCTTATTATGATGTATAATTAAAAATTTCCATCTAAAGTAATGAATTCCATAAGCATAAAGTTGCATATCAAAATGTTTATACATTTTGATATGTTCTTAGCTTTTGAAAATTTTAAATGAATTCCAGTTCCTGGATGAAAAAAAAAAATCATTTTTGATAAAATTACCGTCTAAATGCACATACACATAACAATTAAGAGGAAATAAAACATTTTGGTTCAATTACTAAAATACTTACTATACATTTTGGTTTCCATTATTGCTTTGCCAAATGTAGTATTCTTAAAAAAAAAACAGTGTCTAGAAAATATATTTCGACAAAGTAGGTTCAGTTATATAGTATTGATATGTTGATGTTGAAATCAAAGACTTTATAACATCATTACCTGAAAAGAAAGATAAAATGTAGTTAGTATGATAATAAAAGTCATTTATGACCATGGACCACCCTGGAAATGCATAATGTCACTAGTAGCTAAGTGCAATCTTTGTAACAATATCTATGGACTATGTAGAAGTAATAATCTGTTTTTATACAGACATCAAGAAAGAAGAAAAAGATAAATTATTTTGCAAAATTCCCCCACATCTTCAAAACCTCATCAAAAAATTAAAGTAACAAATGCTATGTACATGGCCCTTTCCTTTGCTCTCCAGTAGTATGACTGCATCTCTTTAAAAAGAGGGCCATGATGGCCCTGAGGTCGCTCACCTGTATATAGGCCCCCGGAGCAGGGCCAGTTTAAACACCAGGGCTTTTATTTGAACAAACTTGGAAGACACCCCATTAGAAGATGTTTCATGATGTTTTTTACTACACACATAGAATGAAAAACAATGACCTTCCCCCTCCCCTCTCAACGTCCCCCCCCCCCCGGCAGGGCCAATTTTAACCCAAGGGCTTTTATTTGAACAAATTTAGTAGACACCCATAAGATGTTTCATGCTAAACATCTAAGCTCTAGCTCAATGGGTTTTTTAAAGAAGATTTTTTAAGTTTTTACTATACACATATAGTTAAAAACAATGACACCCCTGGGGCGGGGCCAGTTTTGACCCCAGGGCTTTTATTTGAACAAACTTTGTAGAAACTTACTAGAAGATATTTCATGCTTAATATCTAAACTCTAGCTATTTGGGTTTTTTCAAAGAAGATTTTTAAGTTTTTGCTATACACATGTAAGGAAAATCAATGACCCCCAGGGCGAGGCCAATTTTGACCCCAGGGCTTTTATTTGAACAAACTTGGTAGACACCCATAAGAACATGTTTCATGCTAAATATCTTAGCTCTAGCTCTTTGAGTTCTTTAAAAGAAGTTTTTTAAGTTTTACTATATGCATATAGGGAAAATCAATGACCCCCTGGGGCGGGCCAATTTTGACCCCAGGGCTTTTATTTGAACAAACTTGGTAGACACTCATTAGAAGATGTTTCATGCTAAATATCTTAGCTCTAGCTCTTTGGGTTCTTTAAAAAGTTTTTTAAGTTTTTACTATATGCATATAGGGAAAATCAATGACCCCCTGGGGCGGGGCCAATTTTGACCCCAGGGCTTTTATTTGAACAAACTTGGTAGACACTCACTAGAAAATGTTTCATGCCAAATATCTAAGCTCTAGCTCTTTTAAAAAGAAGATATTTAAAGTTTTTTCTTTCGGTTGCCATGGCAACCAGAGTTCTGCATGGAATTAAATTCTTTGAACATATTTAAAGGTGACCACCAAAGGAACATTCCTGTGAAGTTTGGATGAAATTGGCATAGTGGTTTATAAGATGTCATTTAAAGTAAAAGTTTACGGCCGGACGCCGGACGAAAAGCGATCACAAAAGCTCACCCTGTCACTTTGTGAGAGGTGAGCTTAGAAGGTTCAAGATTGAACAAACAAAATATAAACTATCGCTATATTTTGCTGATCAATCAGCAGTTAATATGTGTTCATGATTATAACCTTGCCTGTTAAATCATCCTTGGTAACCCATACGTACTTGTTACCTAAACACTTCATTTGTGATGAATGTACTTCAGCAGAAATAGTACCTATGGGTTCCAATGATGCGTAAAATAGATTAGCATAGGTATAACTATATTCCCTTACATATCTTTTTTGAATATAACTTAAAGTAATACATATGAAGCAAATATGGGCTACAAAATAAAACACAAAGATATATCTAAGACATAAAACTTAGTAATTAGAACATAAAAAAGAACATATTTACAGAAAATGTAATATTAACTATAAGAAAGTATCTTCCACACTACAGCGATGCACATTTTCAATAGTGAACATATTTATTTATTCAACAGCAAAATTTCCCATTTGTGTAAATCTTAAAATACAAAGAAATGTTGTTTTTATACAAAAAATATTTTCTGTAATATTAGCAGTTATCAATGATGCAAAAGAGTACAGCAAAAGATGTAAAATCATTGTACATTTTAAAACATAATCAAAACAGTTACTATGCCACAATATATGAGCATAAACATAAAATCCAGATAAGTAATCATTTTTTGATAATATTTTTATTATCAACCTTATTATTTTATGATGCTTCTGTTACCTTTTCAAATGTCTCAAAATAAAAAAAAACATGATGAAGGTCAAAAAGATATCAAAATCAGTAATCCAAAGTTTATTATTTGCTGCAAATAGTTTTTGTTTGTTCCATTATGTTAATTTGTTCAAACATACAGAAAAAACTTTCAACACATGAAAAGAAAAGATTAAAAATATTTACATGATTACTTACTTTGTAACTTACAAACCCATTTACAAAATGTCATTCAGAAATCAGTATAATTATAAGAATTTATTATAATAATTGGGAACAAACTGACAAAGGGAGTACTTCAGTAACTTAAGTCTCAATCTGCTGAAACCAAGTTATTTACCTTTGTCACCGTGCAGTCTGACCAGGCTCTATAACGATGGCAGACCAATAAATTTTTCATCTTAACATCCCAAAACCGATAATGAACTATTTAATGTTATACATAAAGATCACAGATGGCAGAATAATTTTTTGAATGTATGAGTAATAATTCTATTCTACGTATGATAATATTGATCCAACAGTTAAACAAACATTTAATCAGTTACTAAACAGTTATTCATTAATGCATTCAAACAATTTCTTTTGATGGTATTGATATCAAATACATGTATGTTGGTTGATGGAAAATAAAGGAAGATACTGAGCAATGTAACATCTAGATCAATTTGTAATTAAATATTTAAGTACATGTATGTGAAATTAATATAAATATCCAGTTTTGTTTTTGATGTTTATTTTAATAAATCAAGGTATGCTATAATGTAATTGATATCAAACTAAGTTCATGTTACCTTTTGCATAATGTCTTTTAGACATTTTTAAATAATCATAATCTGTATCATTCTTAACTGCTCAGTACAATTATAAATGTGATATCATATTCTAAGATATATATAAAAAAATAAAAATAAAAAAAAAATTATGTTTTGCACTGATGAAGGCATATAGCCAAAATGTATGCAATAAATAATTACTGAATGTTCGTGTTTGTGTGGCGTGTCTATTTGTTTAAGATAATATAAAAGGGAAATTTTTGGTTAAAGATATTTTTAATGTTTTGAATTTTTAAAACTAATAAATTTGCTTAAAATTTCCCCTTTTTAAATTTTAACTTTTTTTCAAGTACACAAAAAAGATATATTTTTTGAAAATTAATTTTTCACTCTCTAGGTAAAAAAAGTACTGTGTTTAAATGATAATGTGGGGAGGGGACATTGCAGTTTTTGTGTACACAAAAGTTTACAACCTTTGTCTGAATATGTAAAACAGGTTTTTAAGAAGCCAACATAGTTCAAGCTAAAAAATAGAATTTTAAATGTCTTGATAGCAAAGTTGGTAAAGTCAATGGGATGCAATACAACTGAATTTTTTTCACAAGTTAGATCCAACTTTTTTTTGTTTCTGTATTTTTTTTCTTTTTTTTTTTGTTTTAATATCTAATGTTTAAAATTTACCGGTAATAAATTTTTTATCGTGTGTAGTGTGTATTATGCAGTAGTCATAGTACTTGTGCAGTGCATGAGTATTTCATGTTGAAACAATTTGTGTACATGTACCGTAATAGTGGACTTGACCACCGTGTCACTAAATAATTATCCTAAACGTACAGTATGAATAAATACTGTCACTAAACAAGAGAACAATGACACTATATCATTCACCTGGATAGACAGCTTTAAACTTAGTTACCAAAAATGACCCATATTTGAACTTGATCTAGAAATCATAGAAACAACCAAACCAGTCTAACAAATTTCATTTATATTTGGACTGAAAATGTTGTCTTAAGAGTGTTAACAAGTTTGGTTGTTTTTTTTCTTTTTTTGGGCTGTTTAACAAAGTCTTTGACCCCAGATGACCCATATTGGAACTTGAGCTAGAAATCATCCAAACAACCTTTCTGACATATTTTCAGGATATTTGGGCTGACTGTCACCTCTTGAGTGTAAGGTTTTTCCATGTTTGGGCTGCATAACCCTAATTTTTTACCCATGATGACCCATATTGGAACTTTAACTAGAAATCATCCAAACAACCTTTCTGACAAATTGTCCTGATATTTGGATAAAAACAGTAGCCTCTAGAATATTAACAAGATTATTCCATTTTCAGGTCATGTTACCTAGTTTTTCATCCGAGAATACCTATATTCAAACTCATACGAGTAACTTCTGGGACAAACATGCTAACCAAGTTTCATATACTAAGCAATTTAGGCTAAGAACCAGTAATAGGGAATGCAGTTTTCAAAACATAGTTTGTGTATACTCTTATTCCAATTAGACATATTCATTCGAGTTTCCTAGATTTCAATACATGTTTGCAATAAAAGTAATTTACCTAAATATGAGCATAGTATATCTTTAAGCGCATTAAGCAACTTGACAGAATTGTATGTTTCATTATATTGAAGTTCAATCATCTAGGTTATTTTAAATAATTTTGATTAACAGCATGATATCGCTTTTCTGAGGTGCAGGGTGATAGCAAAGTATGTTGGAAAATAGTCAATCTTTCAAGGTCCCCTGGAGTGAACAGGTGAACTATTCATTCCTTCTCCTGGTCAGGTTTGACAGAGTATATACAAATCAAGAGCCAATATACAGCTGTTTATCACAGCCCTTTATATTTATTGTAAAGACAACATAGAGTATCAAGGCTACTGTATTCTTTACATCTTAACTTATAAACAAACAAAAACAAGATGATAATCTGTATCTACAAAACAAACATTCTTATATTTGGCAGTAATAAGCATTGCTTTCCTCTATACAAGAGGACTTTAAAGTCTTATCACTTAGACATGTGACCTAATTACTTAATTACATGTATGGTAAGCTAACCTTAGATGACAAAGTCATGCATTGGAACTATTTCATACATCATGTTGACTTACAAAGTCACAATTTTGAATATTGGTCAATTATACAAGTTTGACAGCTTCAAGAATTTTTTTACTCTGCACTACACAACGTCAGCTAAGATGTTATTTTGACCTTGACTTTTAGAATTACAATGTCAACTCAATTTCTTTTGAAACGTTCTTCCTAAGGAGTTTTAAACCCTCAAAAGGGTTAATACTGGAAAATACCACATTGTGGTCAAACAATAAAATCAACAAACTATCTGACCAAAGAGCATTACAACATAGAAACACTCTAAGAGAGCATTACTTTAAAAATTCTACACACAAATTACAACATATGTATTTCTGCAAAATAACCCCTTCCACCAGGTGTTAATACTTAGATATAAGCAAATCATTCAAACAATAGCCAGACACAGTGATGGAGAAGTGGGCTGTCTGTTTAAAATTCATAATACTAAAATCACTATATAAAATATGTTAATATCGAAGTTGCCCCAAAAGTTTTAATCTTTTTAGAATATACTAGTATTTCTTCCAAAGACTGATTGTAAAATGATTTGACATAAAAATCTAGTATGAAATTGATAAGGCAAAATATAAATGTCAACAAATCATAATACAGCCCTTGTCAAAACCTATAATAATGTTATTATTGACTGCAAGATGTAGATTTGAATTAGTTATGACCCTTAGTATTATTGATAGCACATTCATATTTGTTTCGTCCGTTTGGTAGACTCGTCAGCTGAACTCTTTATATTGAAATGTCAAAAAGCATTAATTATAAAATTTTAAGTTTTAGTTTAGATATTTGACATGAAAAATAAGCATAATATGCCCTTTAAAATGTCACATGTGGAAACATTATCAGTTATCTATGATACTCTCAGTAGAGGATAGCTTTCAATCTGTTTCTATGTGTTAGAAAATTTACATCTCAGATTATTTACTTATAAAGGCTATTTAGTACTGCCATTTACAGCATGATTGCTGGCAGATGTTTTATATAAAATATACACAATAAAATTGATATACATTATCTTTAATTATAATATTGTCTCCATTAATAGAGCATTTACAACAACATTTACTACATAAACCATTTAACATTCTGATATCCATACACAGTGTCCTATAAAAAAAGCTGACAATCTGCCAAACTCTGAAACAATTTGAATATGATGTATAAATATATATTAAAATAAGACTTGTATCATAATAAATTAAGATGATATATGTATAACATTATCAAAAGAAGTAGCCCAAACCGTGCTTTCTGTCAGAATTTAGAATTAATGAACAGTAAAATAAATATCTTATGAATACTTTTTCACTAGAAATAAATATTTAACCCTATCGCTTTTCCTATTGCAGTAAAATTTAAGATAATTTTAACATTAGTTTATTTCATTTGAATAACTTATTAGTTATAATGATTTCTGAATGGCATGACATTTACAGGACCCCCCCCCCCCCATTTGAACAGTCAAGTCAAGCAATATTATCCTTCTCAAGTTGTTGAAAATTTCCTCTTTCTACATCATTTGCATGAAATATTTTCATTGGTGTAATAGAAGAGAGCATTTACCTAACCCTTAAAAAGAGTTGAAATTGAAAAATATACAGCCCTGCTCTCAATTTCTGTAGTAGTATACAATGTCAACGCAAAATTTACATAAAAATTAAAGAAACAATTTTGATATCAAACACCTTTATAAATACATGTATTACCAATATTAGTTAATGTATAAATGGCAATCTCCTCAATTTGATAACAAGTATACACATAACCTTTATTATATGCCCGTATAACTTGAACATGGTGTTGCTTTAAAAGGGGCATTATTTTTATCTCTGTGGGTAACATAATTATGAAGAAAAAAATTTCTATAACCACCCTGGATGGCAGACACAAGCCTTTTTTATTTCTGCTTACTGGTAAATAAATGTTTATCTTAACTGGCCTTCCATATTCTAAAAAATGATGCAAACAAAATTTGGCAAACGTAAAGAAATATGAAAAGGCAACAGAAGCATCAACATTTAACTTAAGCTGATAACGAATGCTTAATGTAGTGCTCACATCTAGGATTGGAATATAGGTCGAAGCTGAATAAGCTATATCAAGACTAACATACATGATGTTAACAACTATCACTCCTTCTTTGATAGGCATATACAGTTGTAATATATAACTATAAAGTAACACAATGTTAATAATAAGTTTATCAATTTCAAATGTTTGTGAAGAGAATAGACTGCTCTCCTCAGACACTACGCATGGAAGTACATATACCAACTTACTGAAAATATTACAATAATCAACACCAATATGTACCTGTGTAAAACATATGTAATGACTACACCTTACCAGTACAAAATGTCTTATCACAAATGAATCTTTTGAAAAAAGACATTTTACACCTACAAGTTTGTAGCTATTACTTCCATGCGTGCCTGGGTTAGGGATGATTGAGATTTGCCAAATCCACCTGAAATTTAATCATGATTGTATCTTCTTTCACATACTTTGCTGTTTCTAACACAGCATGAGAAACAAATAGGGGACATCCAGAAGCAATATTCATGTCTGTTGTTGGTTTCCTGAAACTGCTACTGGTTGGATCTGGTCTGAACGAGTCAGAAAGGTTGCACTGTCCAGTCTCCTGGTCAAGAAGTGTCATCGTAACCTTCTGCTGGAACGGCCATGGCAACAGGTTATCATACTCACCTCTCATAACAACAAAGAACAGGCTCATGTGACTTCCTTTTCCCATACCATCTCCATTAAGATACACCTGAATAAAAAATATTATATGAGACAAGTCTCAGATTATCTTCATTACAAAACAATTTTCTACAATAATCCACTAGGCCATAAATGCCTATCATTTCTCACCAGTTAAATGGTGAATTTGTTAACATTTCAACTTGAACTTTGAGAGATAGCAATTTGGCTTTTGCATGTGACCTTTCACATGACTGTAATGACTGTAAGCTTTATTCTCATTGACAGGAAAAATTGAATGTGCAGGACAACTGGTCACAGTTGCCTTTGAACAAAGTCATTTATACAAGACATAAAGAGAATAGCATCCTTAATTTACAAAAGCAACTGTGACACAGACTGCAGCCATTTGAAGATCTCACAAACAGCTTTATGCCAGAAACATCCTTGGCATGTTTGCACAAAAGTTAAAGCAATTATTTTAGCTGCTCTTTGATAAGACTAGATAAACAAGAGGGCCATGATGGCCCTGAGTCGCTCACCAGAAACAACTGCTTTTCAGTGTTGGAATGTCAATATATTCTAATATTAAATTTGAGCATAGAAAATGTTTAAACAATAATTTGAAGAAATGCCATGACCTGGGGCATTTAAGCTTTAGCTTAAACGGGGCCAATCAAATTAAAATGAGCAAACTTGATAAAAGACTACCTAAGAATGCTACAAAGTTTGGTGATCATCTATCAATTATTTCAGTAGGAAATGATGTTCCAAGGTTTTTTCTATTTTTAGCTTTAGTGGCCCCTAAAAGGGGCTCATCAAATAAATATAAGCAAAATTGATAAAAAAGTACCCAAGAATGCTACAGACAAAGTTTGGTAATCATCCATCAATTGGTTCTGAAGTAGAAGATGTTTAAAGGTTTTTTCTATTTTTAGCTTAAGCTGCCCCTAAAAGGGGCTAATCAAAATAATATGAGCAAACTTGATAAAACACTACCCAAGAATGCTACAGACAAAGATTGGTGATCATCCATCCATTAGTTCTGTAGAAATAGACATTTAAAGGTATTACTATTTTTAGCTTTTGCGGCACCTAAAAGGGGCCAATCAAATTAATATGAGAAAACTGGATTAAACACTATCCGAGAATGCTACAAAGTTTGGTGATCATCCATCAATTAGTTCTGTAGGAGAAGCTATTTAAAGGTTTAACAATTTCAGCTCTAGAGACCCCTAAAAGGGGCCAATCAAATTAATATGAGCAAACTTGATAAAACACTACCCAAGAATGCTACTGACAAAGTTTGGTGATCATCCATCAATTAGTTCTCTAGAAGAAGATGTTTAAAGGTTTTCCTATTTTTAGCTCTGCTGACCCCTAAAAGGGCCCAATTGGAATGACATGAGCAAATTCAAGTGTGACTGTCACAAGGATGCTACAGACCAAATTTGAAGTAAATCTGCTTAGTAGTTTCAAAGAAGAAGACAATTGTTGAGGCTTGACGACAGACACAGGAGCATCCCCCTTTGATACTAATAGCTCACCCTGAGCTTTCGGCTCTGGTGAGCTAATAACCATCCTTTATCAATTGTTCACATGAACATATTATCTTTATGACTCATGAATTCCAAATCTTTATGCTGAACATATCTTACTTTTCATGATGTTGGCTACTACAGCAAACATCATTCCATTAACAGCACCGGATGGTTTGCTGCAAAATTATATTTTTTGCAGATCTGCTGAACTCTTGTTAACAAACTATCCCAAGTTGTCTGATAGTACTTATAACATATTAATATCAGAGATCTGCCAAGAATTTGAAAGTACTGGGCCCACTTGGTCTGAAAATGATGGGCCATTTTTACCAAAGTATGGGCCTTGGGAAAATAAGTAAACATTGACCTAAATAACTGTTTAAAAAGTTTGTAGATCTGGTAATAATATTATTACCCCTTGTATGCCTCTGTGTAGACAGCATACATCAAAGACACTTGTCAACAGACCTTTTGATCATGAAAAAAGTCATGTACATGGTTTCCCTGATTGGTTAATCACCCTGTCAAATATTCTGATGACAAAACAAACATCTTTTTCTGTTAATCACCCTGTCAAATATTCTGATGACGAAATAGACATCTTTTTTTTTTACACTTCATCAGGAACCTGAGTGACCTTAGGCCGCTATTCCATTTATACGTGATCAGTGGTCCGCGTCCGTCATCCGCGTCCGCTACCGATTCGCTAATCAAAGAATACGTTGAATCTATTCCTTTCGTCCGTTTACCATCTGCTTCCGCAACGGCATCCACGACGTTTCGCAGGATGAGCGATTTTTTACGGACGCGGACAGTCACTGACATGTCTCAATCCTACAAAATGCCTCGAACGAAATTAAATACTTTATCAATTTCGAAAGAAAATACTAAAGAGCTCACCAAAATAGTGTGGGAGAACCTATAAGTTTATGATGCAGCAATGACAGATTAAAACAAGAAACATGGCAATGCCATGAAACCAGGTTTTCAATTATCACCATTGTAGATAAATATGTTGTATTTGAAATACAAATACAAGCAACAAACAATGTAACTATGTGCAATGTAAAACATGAATAATGTAGGAGGAATTGCCACTGAGTAGTGTTCACTATATATTCTGTATAAGGAAAAAAACAAAGGGCCATAATTAGGTCAAAAATTATCCAATCACAAAACCCCGATAATGTGCGCCAGGTCACTTGATGACAAAGCTTCTGTGAAAGTTTGAACAAAATCCGTTGAAAAATGTAGGACGAGTTCAGCACAGAAGAATTTGTTCACTATATATTGATAATTCTGTATAAGGAAAAAAATCAAAGGGTCATAATTAGGTCAAATATTATCCAATCACAAAACCCCGACAATATGCGCCAGGGCATTTGATAACAAAGCTTCTGTGAAAGTTTGGTCAAAATCCGTTGAAAAATGTAGGAGAAGTTGTGCACGATAGAAATTATTCACTATATATTCAGTATAAGGAAAAAAAACAAAGGGCCATAATTAGGTCAAATATTATCCAATCACAAAATCCCGACAATATGCCCCAGGGCAATTGGTGACAAAGGTTCTGTGAAAGTTTGGTCAAAATCCGTGGAGAAATGTAGGAGGAGTTGCGCACAGAAGAAATTGTTCACTATATATTCTTTATAAGGAAAAAAAACAAAGGGCCATAATTAGGTCAAATATTATCCAATCGCAAAACCCTGACAATATGCGCCAGGGCACTTGATGACAAAGCTTCTGTGAAAGTTTGGTCAAAATCCGTTGAGAAATGTAGAAGGAGTTGCGCACAGAAGAAATTGTTAACGCCCGCCCGCCCGCCCGTCCGTCCGCCCGCCCATCCGCCCGCCGACATACCTCAATCTAATAACGAGTTTTTTCCTTCGGAAAACCTGGTTAAAAAACAACATCTGGTCTTCGGTTGCTAAAGAGATGTTATTTGAAAACCTAACTGATATTAAATGTTTGTTACCTAATTCTTTGATGTTACAACTGTTTTTGGTATTAGAATGAAATTATATCATATTCTACAAATAATTATCCTCTGTTAAGGCCCCCACGATTACACGTTTAAACGGATTCGTTTCGATTTTCATTCATAAACGTTTACGATATTGTTTACCGTTTAATCGAAATGACCATATTGTCTTTCAAAATTTCTTAATCATTGCCTGTAATCATGGATTTTATCAATTCTAGTTGTTTATTCCAAAGTAAACAAGAAACATGGCAATGCCACGAAACCAGGTTTTCAAAAATGTTGTTCTGATTCTATACTATAGTATGAATTTTGGAATGAAGATTGCTATGAATATTCAAAAGATTATAACATGACATGAAGGAAAGGATAATATTCATGAGAATACATGATAATGAGTAGGATGTAAATTTCGGCTAACAATACTGTCTGCAAGGAGTATACTTAATAATGAGACAACAATTTGAGTTAAATGAAAGCAAGTTTGAGAGGGTTCTATAGATGTTTTAGTACAATCATTGAGACATCAACTGCTGAAAAAGAAAGCAAATAGATTATATTGTTAAAATGGGCAACAATTGTTAATCAATGTTATTACCCGACTCTATATAGCGACTTTCGAAAATGAAAACGACTTTCATTAAAAATTGCGCTAAATTCCGAGATGGATTCAATGAGATCTTCAGGATGAAGTCAATTCAAGGTCAACATCATATAGAAATATACGCTTGCTCTAAAATTCTTCAAAAAGTTCAAATTTTCTAAAATTTTCAAGTTACAAAGTAGACATGAAATAATATATCATATCTTTTTTAAATTACCTCCAAAGATGATATGACCTTTGACTGCCAAATCAAGTTAAAATCATGTAAACAGGATTTTCAATGTTAATGTCACTGTGACCTTGACCTTGGAGCCAGCCATGCGGAACATGCGTTCTGCACGTCATCTTGATGTGGTAAACATTTGTCTGAAGTTTCATCAAAATTCTTCAAAGGGTTGAAGAGTTACAGAGCGGACAGGATTTTCAATGTTAATGTCACTGTGACCTTGACCTTGGAGCCAGCCATGCGGAACATGCGTTCTGCACGTCATCTTGATGTGGTAAACATTTGTCTGAAGTTTCATCAAAATTCTTCAAAGGGTTGAAGAGTTACAGAGCGGACAGGATTTTCAATGTTAATGTCACTGTGACCTTGACCTTGGAGCCAGCCATGCGGAACATGCGTTCTGCACGTCATCTTGATGTGGTAAACATTTGTCTGAAGTTTCATCAAAATTCTTCAAAGGGTTGAAGAGTTACAGAGCGGACACAATTTCGTTTGACGCCCGCCCGCCCATCCGCCCGCCATACCCCAATCTAATAACCAGGATTTTCAAAATTGAAAACCTGGTTAACAAACGGAAAATATGTGATTACAACCCTCCACACAGCTTTACGGTGCAAAATTGCTCGTGACATAATACATTTTTGGTAAAAAATGGGGTTACAATGCAGAAAGTGTGTGCTGACTCAATCGTGGTTAGCCCTGAACATTCTTTATTTGTACATGTGTAAAAAATAGAAAGAAAGACATCATTTGGCTACTAAAATACATGGTGTGCATAGTACATAGAGGTACCACCGTTTAAACGGTATCGTTTCGGTTATTAGCAATCGTGTAAACGTTTACAAAAAATTGTAAACGTGGGAGCCTTATCCTCTGTTCACTATACTGCAATTAAAAGTATATAGAAAATAACCTACCTATGGAATAATACCCACGGACATGCCCGGACACGGATCACAGACGTGGGTCACGGATCATGTACTAATGGAATAGCTGCCTTAGGGGTGATCAAAGTTGTACACCTGTCAGATTATACTGCAACTTACAGCATTTCTTAAAATAGCAACACTTTTTTTCAGTTACCGATAATCATTTTAAATATTAAGTAGTTGTATATTTTGTTTGTTTATTTTATTGGATTAAATTTACGGTAGTAGAAATGAGTATCTGTGTGGGAAAGGGATTATGAGAAAAAATGCAGTAAGTAGATAACATAAACAAAAGCTATAGGGGAATGGATAAATTCAAGAATATGCATAATTACAGGGGAATATGGGTAACACCAGTTTTGACTGTATGACTAAATAACCCAGCAGACAGTTTTGTTTTCTTATAAGTCTGGCCCAGATTTTAGATGCGCCCATGGCCTTTTGCTGCCGATTTTCCTGCGTCATTCTCATTTTTTTAGCGCCAATGGCGCAAAATCGCGTCCTCGGCAGATCTCTGTTAAAATCTTCCATAATTTACCCTTGCACACATCTTATATCCATATCTGTGGGTGTAAAATGGCTGACTGTACAATGAGAGTGTTCTCCCTTGAACTGCGTCTTGTTTTCTCCGAGCATAGTCCCTTAACTTCCACATTAGTGTACCATCGTAGCTTGCTGTCTCCAGGATCTGAAATCTCAGATCCAGTTCTGCCATCTGAACATCTAACTGTGCAAATTGACTGTCGTGCTTGTCTATTCTACGCTTTAACTCTGGAGTTTTATACAAAATAAATAACTTTATTCTATACTTCTATAAATGTTTGGACCTATCATTATATCAAATTCAATTACGTACCCGAGCACACATCTTATAACCATATCTGTGGGTGTAAAATGGCTGACTGTACAATGAGAGTGTTCTCCCTTGAACTGCGTCTTGTTTTCTCCGAGCATAGTCCCTCAACTTCCACATTAGTGTACCATCGTAGCTTGCTGTCTCCAGGATCTGAAATCTTAGGTCCAGTTCTGCCATCTGAACATCTAGCTGTGCAAACTGGCTGTCATGCATGTCTAATCTACGCTTTAACTCTGGAGCTGTTCAATAAACAATTTTTTATTAATACCACAAACAATGTTGATGATGGAAATAAAAGATCATCATAACTTCCATGTTTTGATATCTTGTCTTGCAGGACAAATTTATAAAACAATCTATGATCTCAAAATACAATTACATAAGATGCATGCCAATTCACAAATATATGTATTGCAAATATGCTTGATTTTTGTGTCTCCTTCCATAAAATTATAATTATACAATGTGATACCTGGGGCAGTTTCTCCTGATCCTGAACGTCCTCCTTCATTTAAGCTCAGCCTTTCAAGTTGTACCACCTGGGCTCGAACTTGGGTCAAGGATGTCTGCATTGTTCTTACATCCCTATCATGGCGTTCAACAACATCTTTTTTTGCTGCATTCTCTGATTGCTTTTCTAAATGTATTACTCTTTCTGTCAGTGAGACCATCTTTAACTGTAAAATATGTAATTTTTTTTCTATTTTTTTGTATTTATAGAACAAATCCTATACTTACATAAGTTGTTGTTTTGATTTGATCTACTGACCTGGTTTTTAACCTAAGAAGACCCGATATCAAATTCATCTGAAATATAAATTAGACAAACATTCTGACTAGGTTTTACCAAAATTTTATCACATTTGTGCCCCTAAGATACTTGGTTCTAAATCAATTACGATGTAATGTCAAACTTAAAAGAGATATCATGACTAAAATGCAAAGTTTAAAAAGATCTAACCAACCCCATCACACAGAGAGTAAGCCACCAAAATATGGCAACAGACGACATTAATCTATTAATCCTCACAGCTCATTAAAGTATCTGGTGCTCTGATGAGTCAATAGGTATATCAATTCAGCTTGTTGACCATTCTTTTAACTATTAAAGGGATAAAATGGGTATAAGTATGTTATGTTTTTTTTGTTTTCTTTACCAATAAGACCTTTTTGTTAATATTAAGAATGGCAGTCAAAGAGTTTTTCCCCTTTCTATCCAAGATGTGTGCAAGCATCCAAGACCATGTCCATTACATATCTGTATTATAATTCTAAGCTAGAGCTTTCTTTCATGAATTCATCATACCTTTGATGGAGAGTTAATTATTGAGATACAGTAAAAAAAACAAACTTATAATTTCAAATGACACTGACCCCTACCTCAATCAAAAGGAAGAATACAATGCAAGTTATCTTCCTACCAAATATGAAGTGCATCTGTCAAAAATAAAGGTTGTATGAGCAAAAGTGTAAAAATCTTTTTTATGCACTTGTAACCTTTACCTAACTGACCACTAACTATATCCAAAGGAAAAGACCTCAATTTACTAATTGTACCAAATGAAGAAAAAAACCCTATTTCAATAAAATAAGGTTAAAACACCACTCCTGTAAAACTGTAAAAAATTTATTTATTTTTGACCCTGATGACCTTGATTCAAATGACCCCTCACTAAGCCCAAATGAAGAGGACCTCTGTTAGCATGGTTGTATTAAACATGAAAGACATAAACTTAAAAATAGGGGCTGTATGAGCAAAAAAAGTTAATAAATTAAAAAAATTATTTTTAACACCCTAGAGCCACTTAACTCTACAAAAAATGAGTCAAAGACAGAAAAGGCCGGTTTGCATATGTATACAAAATATCATGAGGCTGTGAATTGTTACTTAAATTTTCTACCACTGTCCATTGATGTTGAAAATTTAACTAAGTCAGTAAACCGGACGTGGATGAGCAACAGACCTGAAATGGAATCCCACAATATGGGACCACATGTCAATGCTGTGAACCACATATCAAGAGGCTGTGGTAAGTAGTTGCTGAGAAAACTGTTACGAAAATTTCCTACCATTGACCATTTATGTCGAAAGTTTAACTAAGTCGGCCAACAGATAGAGAATGAGCTACAGACATGAAATCAAATCCCACGGTATGGGACCATGTGTTGATGCTGTATACCAAATATCAGAAGGCTGTGATAAGTAGTTGCTGAGTAAACTGTTACGAAAATTACCTACCATTGACTATTAATGTTGAAAATTTAACTAAGTTTGAAAACAGGAAGTGGATGAGCGACAGACCTGATATCTAATCCATGGTATGGGACCATGTGTTGATGCTGTATATCAAATATCAAAAGGCTGTGATAAGTAGCTGCTGAGAAAACTGTTACGAAAGTTTCCTACCATTGACCATAAATGTTGAAAATTTAACTAAGTCGGCAAACAGGAAGTGGATGAGCGACAGACCTGAAATCAAATCCCACATTATGGGACCATGTGTTAATGCTGTATGCCAAATATCAAGAGGCTGTGATAAGTAGCTGCTGAGAAAACTGTTACGAAAATTTTCTACCATTGACCATTAATAACCAAAATTTAATTAATTTGGCAAACAGGAAGTGGATGAGCCACAGACCTGAAATGAAATCCCACAGTATGGGACCATGTGTTAATGCTGTATGCCAGATATCAAGAGGCTGTAATAAGTAGTTGCTGAGAAAACTGTTACGAAAATGTCCTGCCATTCACCATTAATGTTGAAAATTTAACTAAGTCAGCAAACAGGAAGTGGATGAGCGACAGATCTGAAATCAAATCCCACATTATGTGACCACATGTTAATGCTGTATGCCAAATATCAAGAGGCTGTGATAAGTAGCTGCTGAGAAAACTGTTACGAAAGTTTTTTCCTCGCCTGCCCGCCGCCCAACATTCACCATACTATAACCGGGGTTTGCACCTGTGCAACCCAGCCAAAAATTAGAGGACCATTAAAGGTTAAGGCTCCCACGTTTATAATTTTTTGTAAACGTTTACACCATTGCTAAGAACCGAAACGATACCGTTTAAATGGTGGTACCTCTATACACCATGTGTTTGAGTCGCCAAATGATGACTTACTTTCTATTTTTGATACATGTACAAAAAAAGAATGTTCAGGGCTCATCACGATTGAGTCAGCACACATTTTCTGCATTGTATCCCCATTTGTTACCAAAAATGTATTAATTATGTCACAAGCAATTTTTGCACGGTAATGCTGTGTGGAGGGTTGTAAACACCCAATATGGTCATTTCGATTAAACGGTAAAAAATATTGTAAACGTTTACGAATGAAAATCGAAACGAATTGGTTTAAACGTGTATCCATGGGGGCTTTATTAAAGGTATCCACCAGATATCATTAAATCCTCAATACAACCTTTCTCATCAATTTCCAGGATATTTGGATCAAAACAGTAGCCTCTAGAGTGTTAACAATGTTATTCCATAATTGGGCTGTGTGACTTAGTTTTTGACCCCAGGTGACCCCCAATCAAACTTAACCTTGAAATCATCATAACATCCTTTCTCATCAATTTCAAAGATATTTGGATCTAAACAGTAGCCACAAGAGTGTTAACATTTAGACTGTGTGACCTAGTTTTAGACCCCAAGTGACCTATACTTGAACTTGACCTATAAATCAAGAAAACAATCTTTCTGACCAATTTCCACAATATTGGACTGTAACCCAATAGAGTGTTAACAAGGTTTTTCAACATTTGGGCTGTGTGACCTAGTTTTTTACTCCAGGTGACCCATATTCAAATTTGACCTTAAAACTAGAACTATCACTAAATGTGATTAATACCCCCACAAGTCTGCTTCAGAAATGAGGATGTTACTAGTAACAGAATACCTTGTAAAAGAATTGAAACATAGAGTTATGGTTGTGGGCAATTAAAGATAATTGTGGTTCATGTATGTTGCATTTCCTGTCAATGTGGTTGGCCATTGATGAAGTTTAATTGAATTACTCTGTAATAAGTCCAGAAAGAAAAAATGCACGGAGGGGCACCTGAGGTCTTCCTCCACCAGTAAAGCTGAAACGTCGCCAAATGACCTATACCGTGTCGGTGTGACGTAAAACCCAAATCAAACAAACAAAGAAAAAGAACAAAGGGCAATAACTCTATAAATACTGAAGATAGAGTTATAGTTCTTGTGCACTGCACTTCCCCTTATTGTGCTTGACCATTGTATGAAGTTGTTTTGAATTCCAACCAGTACGTTTTAAGTTATTCTCCGGACATGGAAAAGTATCAAAGGGCAGTAACTCTGTATTTTGTCAAAATGGAGTTATGGCTCTTGTGCACTGCACTTCCTTTGAATGTCCTTGACAACTGTGTGAAGTTGTACTGAATTCCAAACAGTAGTTTTCAAGTTATGCCCTGGACAAGGAAAAGTAACAAAGGGCAATAACTCTGTGATTAGTCAAGATGGAGTTATGGTTCTTGTGCACTGCACTTCCCCTTATTGTGCTTGACCATTGTATGAAGTCGTTTTGAATTCCAAACAGTAGTTTTCAAGTCATGCTCTGGACAAGGAAAAGTAACAAAGTGCAGTAACTCTGTAATTAGTCAAGATGGAGTTATGGTTCTTATGCACTGCACTTCCTCTCAATGTGCTTGACAATTGTATGAAGTTATAATGAATTCCAACAATAAGTCTTCAAGTTATGGTCCGGACAAAAGAAAGCAATGGAAAAGTAACAAAGGGCAATAACTCTGTAATTAGTCAAGATGGAGTTATGGTTCTTGTGCACTGCACTTCCCCTTATTGTGCTTGACCATTGTATGAATTTGTTTTGAATTCTAACCAGTAGTTTTAAAGTCATGCTCTGGACAAGGAAAAGAAACAAAGGGCAGTAACTCTGTAATAGGTCAAAATGGAGTTATGGTTCTTGTGCACTGCACTTCCTCTCAATGTGCTGGACCATTGTATGAAGTTATAATGAATTCCACCAATTAGTCTTCAAGTTATGGTCCAGACAAAAGAAAGCAATGGAAAAGTAATAAAGGGCAATAACTCTGTAATTACTTTAGATAGAGTTATGGTTCTTATGCACTGCACTTCCTCTCAATGTGCTTGACCATTGTATGTAGTTATACTGAATTCCAACCATTAGTCTTTAAGTTATGCTCCGGACAAAAAAGAAGGCAATTGAAAAGCAACAAAGGACAATAACTCTGTAATTACTTTAGATAGAGTTATGGTTCTTGTGCACTGCACTTCCCCTTATTGACTTTGACAATTGTATGAAGTTGTTTTGAATTCCAAACAGTAGTTTTCAAGTTATGCCACGGACAAGGAAAAGTAACAAAGGGCAATAACTCTGTAATTAGTCAAGATAGAGTTATGTTTTTTATGCACTGCACTTCCTCTCAATGTGCTTGACCATTGTATGTAGTTATATTGAATTCCAACCATTAGTCTTCAAGTTATGCTCCGGACAAGGAAAATGCAACAGACAAAAAAAAAAAGCAATGGAAAAGCAACAAAGAGCAATAACTCTGTAATTACTTTAGATAGAGTTATGGTTCTTAGGCACTGCACTTCCCCTTATTGTGTTTGACAATTGTATGAAGTTGTTTTGAATTCCAACCAGTAGTTTTCAAGTTATGCCCCGGACAAGGAAAAGTAACAAAGGGCAATAACTCTGTAATTAGTGAAGATAGAGTTATGGTTCTTGTGCACTGCACTTCCTCTCAATGTGCTTGACCATTGTATGTAGTTATATTGAATTCCAACCATTAGTTTTCAAGTTATGCTCCGGACAAGGAAAATGCAACAGACGTCTGGACCGACCGACCGACCGCCTGACCGACCACCGGGTGACTCCTATATACCCCCCCCCCCCCAAACTTCGTTTTTGGGGGTATAATAATCTTAACAATCTTTCTGACCTATTTCCAGGAAATTTGGAAAGACACAATAGTTCTAAGTGTGTTAAACAAGGTTCTTCCATATTTGTGACCTAGTTTTTAACTCAAAAAGACTTATATTCTAACTAAACAACATTTCTGACCAATTTCCAGGATATTTGAACTGGACCAGTAGCCCGTAGTGTGCTAACAAGGTTTTTCCATATTGGGACTGTGTGACCAAGTTTTTTTACCCCAGATGGCCCATATTCAAACTTGAACTAGAAATCACCAAAACAAACTTTCTGCCTATTCTGTCCAAATTCCAGGATATTTGGAAAGAAACAATAGCCTCTACAGAGTTAACAAATTTTTCCATATTGGGGCTGTGTGACGTAGTTTTTTTTCTCCCAAGGTGACTAATATTTGAACTTGACCTAAAAATCATCAAAACAACCTTTCTGACCCATTTCCAGTATATTTGGATAAAATATATATACATACACACCAATAAATATATATGGTCAATTCATGCACAAATAAGTGAAAATTCAGTAATTTAACCTTCAAGGTCAAGGTCATTGAAGAGCCCAAGTCAATTTGAGTTTGATAAACATGAAGGTCTTGTCCTTAAGAATGTTCTTTTATAATATGAAGTTGATCCTTTCAATTATAGCAAAGTTACAGCTAAAAAAAATGAAAATTTCAATTAGACCTTCAAAGTCAAGGTCATTTATGAGTGAAGGTCAAGGTCTGTCGGGTTATTTTTAAGGGCTATCCTTGAAGATTATTATGTTCAAGTTTGAAGACAATCCATTCAAAAATAACAAAGTTACAGTCAATTATAGCCAAAAAAAATGAAAATTTCAATAATTTGACCTTCAAAGTCAAGGTCATTTATGAGTGAAGGTCAAGGTCTGTCTGATTATTTTTAAGGGCTATCCTTGAAGATTATAATATTCAAGTTTGAAGACAATCCATTCAAAAACTAGAACTATCACTAAATGTGAGTATTACCCCCGCAAGACTGCCTCGGAAATGACGAAATTACTAGTAACAGAATACCTTGCAAAAGAATTGAAATAGAGTTATGGTTGTGGGCAATTAAAGATAGTTGTGGTTCTTGTATGTTGCATTTTCTTTTCAATGTGGTTGACCATTGATTAAGTTTTATTGAATTACTGTAATAAGTCCAGAAAGAGTTACACTTTTTGAGCACTCCACTTCCTCTCATTGCGCTTGACCATTGTATGAAGTTGCATTGAATTTTAAACATTAGTTTTTAAGTTATGCACCGGACAAGGAAAAGGAACAAAGGGCAATAACTCTACAAATACTGAAGTTGGAGTTATGGTTATTGTACACTGCACTTCCTCTCATTGCGCTTGACCATTGTATGAAGTTGTATTGAATTCCAACAACTAGTTTTCAAGTTATGCACTGGACAAAAGAAGTAACAAAGGGCAATAACTGTAATTTGTGCACTGCACTTCATCTCACTGCCCTTGACCATTGTATGAAGTTTCATTGAATTCCAACCATTAATTTTCAAGTTATGCACTGGACAATAAAAAGTAACAAAGGGCAAAAACTCTTAAATGAGTCAAGAAAGAGTTATGGTTTCTATGCACCGCGCTTTTTTTCAATATACTTGACCATTGTATGAAATTGTTTTGAATTCCAACTAGTAGTTTTCATGTTATGCTCTGGAAAAGAAAAAAGCAATGGAAAAGTAACAAAGGGCAATAACTCTATAATTACTCTGGACAGAATTATGATTCTTGTGCACTGCACTTCCCCTTATTGTGTTTGACTATTGTGTGAAGTTGTTTTGAATTCCAACCAGTAGTTTTCAAGTTATGCTCCGGACAAGGACAAGTAACAAAGGGCAATTACTCTGTAATTAGTGAAGATAGAGTTATGGTTCTTGTGCACTGCACTTCCTCTCAATGTGCTTGACAATTGTATGAAGTTGTATTGAATTCCAACCATTAGTCTTCAAGTTATGCTCCGGACAAGGAAAATGCAACAGTCGTCTGGGCCGATGACCGACCACCGGGTGACTCCTACTCCTGTATACCCCTCCCCAAAACTTCGTTTTGGGGGTATAACAAGTAAAATTTAGACATTTGAACTTGAAGGTCAAGGTCATTGATGAATGAAGGCCAAGGTTAGTCTGGTCTACTTGAGGATCTTGTCCCAAGGGTTGTTTTTGCCAAGCATGAAGACAATACACCAAGAACTAAACAAATTTTTATTAAGGTACAAGTTTGTGGCTGGCAACAGCAATGCCGACATGACTGTAACAATACCTCTTTTTTTTTCTCTCAAAAAGTATACAAGATAAAATGGTGAATATACTCTGAAAAACTATTTTTACAAGAAAAAAAAAAAGTGAATATACTCTGATACTGACCTGTTATGTTTTCAAAAAAACATACTTCTTAGCCAATCAGAGAAACACATTTCAAAGTTGTTTATAGATTATATAATAATGTAAGATATAGCCTGGGTCGGGGCCAATTTTTACACAAGGGCAATGATTTAAACAATTTTGGTAGAGGCCCACCAGACAATGCCTTTGCAAAATATCTAAGCTCTAGGTGACACTGACCATAGTTTGGGTCCAAAACAGCCACAAGAAAGCCTGTTCTAGTGAACGCTGCCTGCGGACAGCTTGTGACCGCTATTCGCGACCATTTATTTAGGGATTTTCATCTGTGGAAATCAACAAGAATGTTAGTCAGAAGTGACCGTAAGGATAAGTTAGACTGTATTTCTTTTTGTTGCAAAGGTCAACTTTAAAACTATAAAAAGATAGCAAATTTGCACAATATCATAGCACTTTTATGATACCTTTAGTTCTTTGTTTGAATTTTGTACTTTCTCGAAGTTTGTTTTCATTACTGCCATCTCCTGTCTAACAACATTCACTTCTTGTCTTAATTGATCCCTCTCTGCTGTTACCTCCTGAAATAACAATTATAATCATGTATAACTGCAGTTATGACAAGACATTAGTGTTGCAATTAAACAACTTAGTTCCCAGTTAGTTCTGCTCTGTTGTAAATTACATTATACTTTGGAGTACAACACAAGAGCAATCAGTGATCACATGTGTCGCCTCATGATGGCCAATTTCATGTTGGGACAAGTTTTGTGACAGACGGACAGACAGTGCACAACTAGATTTGGTACTGATCATTCCTGTAAAGTTTGGATAAAAATGCACCAGTAGTTTATGAAGAATAGTCCGGACAAGCTTTTGTGTATCTGGCAACACACAGAAAAAAACACCTTTTTATCAAAGGGCCATTACTCGGCCAAAAATCATTCAACCGGAAAACCCGTGCAATATGCGCAAGGACTTGAGCTACAGATCAATCCTGTAAAGTTTCATTAAAATTGCATTAGTGGTATAAGAGAAGTAGTCCGGACAAACTTTAAAAATAAAAATTATTAAAGGGCCATAACTCTGACAAAAATCATTGAACCGGAAAATGCTGACAATATGCACAACTAGACTTGGTACTGATCATTCCTGTAAAGTTTGAATGAAATTGCACCAGTAGTTTATGAGGAGTAGTCCGGACAAGTTTTGTGACGGACGGTCGGACAGACAGACGACGGAGAAGTGATCCCTATATGTCGCCACTACTCCGTAGAGGCGACACAAAAAGCATGACCATTGCACTTAAACAACTAAGTTCCCAGTTAGTTCTGCTCTGTTGTAAATTACATTATACTTTTGAGTACAATAAAAGCATGACCACTGCACTTAAACAACTAAGTTCCCAGTTAGTTCTGCTCTGTTGTAAATTTCATTATACTTTGGAGTACAATAAAAGCATGACCATTGCACTAAATCAACTAAGTTCCCAGTTAGTTCTGCTCTATAGTAAATTACATTATACTTTGGAATAAAATAAAAGCATGATCATTGCACTTAAACAACTAAGTTCCCAGTTAGTTCTGATCTATGGTAAATTTCACCATACTCTGGAGTACAATAAAAGCATGATCATTGCACTTAAACAACTAAGTTCCCAGTTAGTTCTGATCTATGGTTAATTTCACCATTCTCTGGAGTACAATAAAAGCATGATCATTGCACTTAAACAACTAAGTTCCCAGTTAGTTCTGATCTATGGTAAATTTCACCATACTCTGGAGTACAATAAAAGCATGATCATTGCACTTAAACAACTAAGTTCCCAGTTAGTTCTGCTCTATAGTAAATTTCATTATACTTTGGTGTACAATAAAAGCATGACCTTCACAAAACACTATGCACTGACATTCACAATAAAACATGTATTCTAAGATTTTCATAACCAAGCTTGTATACTTTTTCACTTTATCATTTATTAAAAGCCAAAAACTATCTATTTCCATTTTAACTATGTCCATAACTATGACAACCATGTTTTGAGCTAAAAAGAAAAAATTACTAGCACTTATTGTCATCTATCAAAATATCATGCCTGTTTTATTTCAGACATCAAATGGAAAACCTTAGTTATATATAACATGAATTAATGATTTGTTCTTATTTATAATTTTCTGGCATTCCCAATGTGATTATATTTAAAATCATATCAAGATTATGATATATACTCTATATTTAGCTTTGCCTGTTTTATTTCAGACATCAAGTGGAATACCTTACTTATATATATATCATAGATTAATGATTTGTTCTTATTTATAATTTTCTGGCATTCCCTTTGTGATTTTATTTGTACTCTAGATTATGATATATACTCTATATAATATTTAGCTTTGGTCACATGATAAAGGTTAAATAAGTCATTTCCTGTGCAACCAGCTTGGATCATGTTCATTAAACATTTTAACAAAATCCATGTTAATCTATGCACATTTCTAGAGGATTGAACAGATAGTTTTTTGTAGGAGATATAGGACTACTTTTGATTAAAAATTACAAAAATTGGAAAGCCAAACCAGGCAAATAAAGATAACTTTCACTTCCAAGGATTATACCTTCAATACAGGTAAGGTTTTCATTTGTGTCAAATAGGACGGGTTTAATAGGGGTGTGGTGATTACTAGTAGTGACAGTGAATAGTAATTTTATAAAATGACCATTAGATACCAATATTTTAATGTACATTTATGATAGAATATGAACTAGGAAGGTATCAATGATAAAATATTATGGTGAGGGAAACAAAGACACTGGGGCATTTTCATCAATAGGCTTATGTTTTAATGGCATTTGTAAACAAGAGGGCCATGATGGCCCTGAGGTCGCTCACCTGTATATAGGCCCCCCCCAACCCCCAAACGTTGCAGGGCCAATTTAACCAAAGGGCTTTTATTTGCACAAACTTGGTAGACACCCATAAGAAGATGTTTCATGCTAAACATCTAAGCTCTAGCTCATTGGGCTATTTAAAAGAAGATTTTTTTAAAGATTTTACTATACACATATAGTTAAAAACAATGACACCCCTGGGGCCGGGCCAGTTATGACCCCAGGGTTTTTATTTGAACAAACTTTGTAGACACTTACTAGAATATGTTTCATGCTTAATATCTAAACTCTAGCTATTTGGGTTTTTTCAAAGAAGATTTTAAGTTTTTGCTATACACATATAAGGAAAATCAATGACCCCGGGGCGGGGCCAATTTTGACCCCAGGTCTTTTATTTGAACAAACTTTGTAGACACTCACTAAAAGATGTTTCATGCTTAATATCTTAACTCTAGCTATTTGGGTTTTTTCAAAAAAGATTTTTTAAGTTTTTGCTAAACACATATAAGGAAAATCAATGACCTCCGGGGCGGGGCCAATTTTGACCCCAGGGCTTTTTTTTTAACAAACTTGCTAGACACCTATTAGAACATGTTTGATGCTAAATATCTTAACCATAGCTCTTTGAGTTCTTTAAAAGAAGATTTTTTAAGTTTTTACTATATGCATATATAGGGAAAATCAATGACCCCCCGGGGCGGGGTCAATTTTGACCCCAGGGCTTTTATTTGAACAAACTTGGTAGACACTTATTAGAACATGTTTCATGCTAAATATCTTAGCTCTAACTCTTTTGGTTCTTTAAAAGAAGATTTTTTAAGTTTTTACTATATGCATATAGGGAAAATCAATGACCCCCTGGGGCGGGGCCCATTTTGACCCCAGGGCTTTTCTTTGAACAAACTTGGTAGACACCTATTAGAACATGTTTGATGCTCAATATCTTAGCCATAGCTCTTTGAGTTCTTTAAAAGAAGATTTTTTAAGTTTTTACTATATGCATAAAAAAATTATAGGGAAAATCAATGACCCCCCGGGGGGGGGGGGCCAATTTTGACCCCAGGGCTTTTATTTGAACAAACTTGGTAGACACTCACTAGAAGATGTTTCATGCCAAATATCTAAGCTCTAGCTCTTATGGTTTTTTAAAAGAAGATATTTAAAGTTTTTTCTTTCGGTTGCCATGGCAACCAGAGTTCTGCATGGAATTAAATTCTTTGAACAATTTTTAAAGGTGACCACCAAAGGAACATTCCTGTGAAGTTTGGATGAAATTGGCCTTATGGTTTATGAGGAGATGTCATTTAAAGTAAAAGTTTACTGACGACGGACGACAAACGAAAAGCAATCACAAAAGCTCACCCTGTCACTTTGTGACAGGTGAGCTAAAAACTGTTTTTCAATGTGCAACATTGTAAAGATCATAACATATATACCGGGAAATTTCTCTTTAGTAAACAAAGTCTCATAATGCTATGTTCAGTTAGATACGCAAATATTTATGAGCAAAGTCAAGAGTGTTTTTCAAAACACAGCAACTCTAACCACTTGTATAACTGAGGTTCATTGACTGAATCTTTTATAAAACTCCTAAGCAAAGCACATAAACATCATCAAATTCACAGTACATCAATAAAACTGGACAAACTTTCAAGGCTGTCCTTAAAAACTGGGAGCTACATTATACACTGAACTGACTCTCGTATAATCTTGCATTACAGCTCAGAGCCTCCTACCACCCAATTCTTCAAATAAAGAGGTGATAGCTGACCTGTATCCTTCACAAGAGTAAAATGGAAACAAGAAATTTTTGTGAAGCACCACCTCAAGTTTATTCCTTTGAAGTTTTTGGGGTGTCTGTTGTTCCATGAAAATGTGGATAATGACAGACCACACACAACGGACATCATGCCATCACAAAAGGGCACAAGGTGAGTTAAGAAATAATTCTGTTCAAAAGAGCAATCCACCTGAAAGAAAATGCAACAAGAATGAATAATACCACATACATTTGTATAAACAACACAATAGAAAGAAAAACTGATTTCCAGAAAATGTACAAAAATCTGATGCATGCCATGTAGATAGCTAAGCAGGAAATGTAACAATACATGTGATCCTAACACATAACCTGTAACCAACCCTTTCTCTTAAATTGAAATTTTAACACCTTTTTAATAACAATTCTTTGAATCTCTGATAAACACAATACCTCAAAGCATTTTTTAAAATTTGAGACAATCCTTGGTAACATTACAATTCAACAACAAAGGTGATATTTAGATTACACCCAAGTAAAGAATATCTGTATAACATGCAAACATACATTTAAAACTGAGATATGATATGATACAGCAAGTGGAAAATATTGAAAACAGAAAGTTACTGTCAATATTAAACTATAACCTACACGATCAGTTATAAGCAGTTGGACAAAACTTGTTAGGAAAATTGCTAAATAGTTGGAGAACAAAAGGCACAGACAAGTCCAAATATCATACATTAAATGGGGAAGTGGTCCTAAAATGACAAGGGATACAATTAAGAAATTTTCTCCAGCGAGTGACAAACTTACTGGTAAATGCTGTTATTGCTATATGAAACAACCTACCTACTAAATATAACATAACCACTCCCAACATCTGAAGACATATGTGAGAAATAAATCATTTAAAGACACCTTTTTTAAACACTCAAGAAGCAACATTTTGGGGTTTTATGATGATCTGGTAGTAAGGAATAATCCCCTGCAATGTCATGGTGTATACATGCACTTTCTGAAGTTTCATATACAAACTTTACTACGTATTTTATACCAGCCTCACATGACACAGCTCCAAACAATATCAATACAGAATAGAAACTTTGAGATCCTCTACATCAAATTTTAAAATGAAATTAAATTATCTCAATTTTCAAGCCTCTGCAAGATTTTCAAAGATTTTCATGATTTACCAATTTAAGTTTGTCATCTTTAGTTTCATTAACTACAATTCTCATATTGCACACCAATTTCTATGCCTTTACCATGGCTCTTTTCTCTTCCAATGTTTTCTGAAATAACTATTTGTATAATAATATTAAATAAACAAATTGAAATGAAGTGTAAAGGAAATTAGATCATTTAATTCACATTCAGAGTAAGAACAATTGAACACTATCTTACAATATAAAGCTAGAGACAAACGTACTTGTAATTCCCTTCTGATTCCAATGCTCTGAACTTCCATATTTGCTGTATATAGAGTCACATTCTCTAAATGTTTATTTAAATCTGTCACTAAATGATGTTGAACCTGTTCATCTGTTCCCTGAAAAGAAGCATCAATTAACAGCTTTGACCACATTTTTATGGAAAAAAAAAACACGGCTACAGTAAGTCTCAATTGCTCACCTGATTGGAGAAAAATTCCCATGACAAAATCACATTTGAAGCAATCCACATCACTGGCTTTGCATCCTGCCTTGTTAATCATTTGAACCAAGATTAGAAAATCCTTTAAAGGGTATAGGATTTACAAAGTGGACATGAAATAGTTTGCCAATAGTTGCCTGATATTTAACCTTCAAATGCGACATTGACCTTGAGCTGGCAATACAGTGGTATGGGTTCTAAAATTGCCTTTTTTTAGGTGGACACTTGAGCAAAGTTGGGATAAAATCCTTTCAGTGATATAGGAATTAATTGGTAGAATTGGCTTTTTCACATTAACCTTCAAGTGTGACCTGGACCCTGAGCTGACACAAGGGCCACATGGGCTCTACATATTGCCTTGTTCAGGTAGACATATTTCTGTCAAGATTGAAGAAAAACTTTCTACAGGTTTAGGATCCATAGAGCAGACACAGTGGAATTGGCTCTCTTATATTTAATCTACCAGAATGACCTTGATCTAAGCTTGATCGCTGTGACATTGGTTATGCAAAGTGCCTTGTTTTGCTGTACATATGTGCCAAATTTGAAGAGAATCTTTGAAGGGTGCGGCAGAGGACTGCCAGACAATGACACACCCTCATACTGCATTCAAAAGCTCTGGGCTTTGTATTTTATTTTACTGAAATTTTAAAATTAAATAAAAAATCATTTTTCAATTCATTTTTTTCCTCTTACCTCCAGATCGTGCATGACCCATTTACATGGAATTTGTACAGATCATAACAAGAATTTGTAACAGAGTTACCAACGTCCCCCGCCTCAGGGAAGTTTTATATGAAGCATAAAATCAATGCTAGATCTGCAAATGCAACAATAAATTTATTAAAGAAACTAGAAATGTGTCCATAGGACACGGATGCCCCCACACCCCACTGTTCTGTCAATCTTATGACTCTAGGTCAAATATTTTTTGGATAAAAAATCAACAAAGGGCCATAATTCTGTTAAATTTGGTCGCAGCAAAAATTCTTTCCTTTACTAACATCTACACATTAAGGTTGTAAATCCCTGGAAGTTTAAGCAAAATCTGCCATCCGGTTTAAGAAGAGTTACGTTCACAAAATTTCTACAAAGTATATAATGAAAAAATCAACAAAGGGCCATAATTCTGTTAAATTTAGTTGCAGCAAAAATTCCTTCCTTTACTGCCATCTACACATTAAGGTTGTTCATCCCTGGAAGTTTAAGCAAAATCTGCCATCCGGTTTAAGAGGAGTTGCGTTCACAAAATTTCTACATAGTATATAGTGAAAAAATCAACAAAGGGCCATAATTCTATTAAATTTGGTCGCAGCAAAAATTCCTTCCTTTACTACCATCTACACATTAAGGTTGTTCATCCCTGTAAGTTTAAGCAAAATCTGCCAACCTGTTTAAGAGGAGTTGCGTTCACAAAATTTCTACATAGTATCTAGTGAAAAAATCAACAAAGGGCCATAATTCTGTTAAATTTGGTCGCAGCGAAAATTCCTTCCTTTACTACCATCTACACATTAAGGTTGTTCATCCCTGTAAGTTTAAGCAAAATCTGCCATCCGGTTTAAGAGGAGTTGCGTTCACAAGATTTTGGGACGTACGGACAGACAGACTGACTGACTGACGGATTGACGGACAAGTGCAACGCTATATGCTCCCACATTGTGGGGGCATAATAAAATGAAACACTGAATTTAAAAATCTATCATGTTAAGCTTTGACCTCTAAGTGTGACCTTGACCTTAGAGGTAGGGACTCTGGTGTTACGCATGACATATCATCTTATCATTGTGACTATTTGTGCCAAGTATTTTCAAAATCCCTTGATCTATGAAGAAGTTATTGATGGGACACAAAATATACCATATAACAGACTCTGTTAATTTGACCTCTAAGTGTCACCTTGACCTTGGAGGTAGGGGTGCAGGTGTTGTACTTGACATATCCTCTTATTATTGTGACTATTTGTGCCAAGTTATTTCAAAATCCCTTGAACAATGAAGAAGTTCTACATTGGACATAATATATACCCTTTAAAAGACTATGTTAGGTAGGGGTCTGGTTGTTGCGCATGACACATCGTCTTATTATAACAAACATTTGTGCCAAGTTATTTCAGATTCCTTCAATAAATGACAAAGTTATGGACCGGACACAAAATATACCCTGTAACAGACTATGTTAAACTTTGACCTCCAAGTGTGACCTTGACCTTGGAGGTAGGTGACTGGTTTTTTCACATGACACATCTTCTCATTATTGTGAACAATTGTGACAAGTATTTACAAAATCCCTTCAAAGACAAAAAAGTTATGGACCGGACACGACATATACCCTATTTGAGACAATGTTGACCTTGAATGAGCAAGTGCTACCTTGACCCTGGAGGTAGGGGTCTGGTTGTTGCGCATGACACATTGTCTTATTATAACAAACATTTGTGCCAAGTTATTTCAGATTCCTTCAATAAATGACAAAGTTATGGACGGGACACGAAAGTGTGATGGACGGACAGACAGACGGACGGAAAGACGGACGGAGCCTATTTCTATATCCCCCTTTTTTCTTCGAAAAGGCGGGGGACAAAAATATTGTTACCAAAAAATGTTTGTGTAATATCTACAACAAGGTTTGACAAAATATGTTGTTTAAAGAAATTAAAGGTTTCAACAGACACTACATGACAGAAATATTACAAATCTCAGCATAAGCATATAAAATTATTTATCTATTTACATCTATCAATCAATAAACTGCCTATTAATGATACTCACTTTAAAATCACATCCAACAGACTTAAATCTGCATTCTTTAGGTTTACTTGGGCATGTTTCCATATGGTTTCTCAACTGAAACAAAAGATAATGAAGCCAATGTAAAACAAAAACAATGCACAAGTAAAACTAGAAATGAGTTGTCACGCCATGGATGCCCCTGCATGCAGCCAAAATTTCAGATGTTATAATATTTAGTTCCAAATTTGTTTGCACAAATTATTTTTTTCATTTTAAGACCAAAGCCCTTAAAACTATTCAATATTAACACAAACCATTTTTAAACAAAGTTCAAGGCACTGAAACTATTCAGTGTTAACCTTTTGTAAATTGCATATATCTGAGCCAAATTTATGGCTACATACATTTCCACAAAATTATGAGTGCTGAAACTAAAAATTTAATTTTTTTCCAACATTCAAGGGAGATAACTTTGTCCAAAATCATTGAACCACAACCAAATTCAAACTTAAACTGCTTATTCCTAAGATGTATCTATATGTCAAATTTGAGTTGGATGTGTACAACCATTGGAGAGATAATGAACTGAAACTTAAAATTTTTGATTTTTTTTCAAAGTTCAAGAGGGATGTCAAATTTGAGTTGAATGTGTAATACTGTTGGGGAGACAATGAACGGCAACTGAAAATTTCTTATTATTTTCAAAGTAAAAGGGGCATAACTCTGCAAAAAATCATTGAACCATGACCAAACTTTATCTTGACCTGTGCATTCCTTTGACGTATCCATATGTCAAATTTGAATTGAATGTGTAATACTGTTGGGGAGATAATGAACGGAAACTGAAAATTTCATATTATTTTCAAAGTAAAAGGGGCAGAACTCTGCCAAGAATCATCAAACCATGACCAAATTTGAACTTGACCTGTATTTTCTCATGACATATCTATATGTCAAGTTTGAGTAGAATGTGTAATACCGTTGGGGAGATAATAAATGGAATTTGAAAATTTCATATTATTTTCAAAGTAAAAGGGGCATAACTCTACCAAAAATCACCGAACCATGACCAAATTCGAACTTGACCTGTATTTTCTCATGACATATCCATATGCCAAATTTGAGTTGAATGTGTGCAACCGTTACTAAGATAATGAACGGAAAATGATGATGACGGAATGACAGAATGAGGGAAGGACGGAATGACGGAACAGGGTAACACTTTATGCCCCAGCCATTATATGGCGGGGGCATTAAAATCACTCCAACATCAAATGTCTTTGTCAAAATTTGGAGTCCATACTTCAAGATGTTATTTAAAACATTTCTAAAAGCACTTTATATTTCCTGGAAACAGTTTAACTTAAAATAGATATCATATAATATCTCTGGTTTGCATATAATTGAGAACTATAAACACATAAGCTGACAGTATACTGAACCAAAAAAGAAACTTTCGCAAAGTATGTGCCAGTTGTTCAAGGGTACCACTTAGATGTACACACTTATATACATGTAGTAGCTTGTAAAACTCGTTTTGTTTGCAAAATCGGTCAGCTAATCCCCGTATAAAAGCCCGATATGTTTATTCAACGTAAAAATCGAGTTTCAAAAGGATTGAAAAACTGTACTAACATATTTACATTCAAACTTGGAGAAAGTGTCTTCTTTATTCCAGTATATATTTGCTATGTCTGAACTGTGAGAATCAAAGTCGATCATTTCAGCTGAAGCTGACATTTTTTTAACAGTGATACATTATGTCTCTACCTTATTAATTGATACAGCATTTCAACAAAAAGCTAGACATTATATTTTCATAATTTTATTATATAAAGGTTGAAATTATCTTCATATAAAAGAAGCTTGCTGTATCATGAATTCGTTATTTAGATTTGTGACAGGTTATATGACCAAACAATAATAGTTGTTTGAAATATATGCAAACAACCATTTGGGCCATATAACCTCTGAAAAAAAAAATTCTTATTACTAATGTATCTTTAACTGTTATGTCATATAAGACAAATTGCTTCAAGAAAACTGCACATTTTCCCTTACTTATAAGGTTTAGTAAAGCAAGTAGCAATTTTAGGAAATACAAGCCTTCAATCTTTACTGAACATGTGAAGATTAGAAACAATATCTGTAGACATTCTTCTTCCTGAAATAACATCATGATTCATCTCTTTATGAAGACCACTGTTTACCTAGCCATAAAGGATCCACAACATGGAGAAAAAACGATAAAATGAATGATGTTTAAGGTACTTTAATACCTCTGTTCTAGCCATAGGCTGACTACCACAACTGTAAGGGCACGCAAGTTGGACTACCAAACATTCGTCATCAAAATGTTTCTAAAAATAAAAAATAAATACCAATTCTTTCAGTCTGTGGTGTAAACACCTAGCTTACTAGGTTTGAGACCAACAAATCAGTGGTATAACTTATAAATTATTTAAGTGTATACCTGACCATATAAACTGTTCAAAGTGTATCATGATGTGTTTATAACATTTAAGTTGCTTATTAACTTGTCAAAGATTTATAACAAGTGCTGTCTATAGGCAGACATTCTTGACAATCCTCAGACTTCATTATAGTATTAGAATAGATGTTAGACAAGCAGTATCTTAAATATGTCACATGGTACTACAAAAACCTGAACTATTTTTGATCTTTTTCCTTCTCTAAATTTACAAAAACCTGAACTATTTTTGATCTTTTTCCTTCTCTAAATTTAAAGTCATACCTTAATGTGTTCAGTCAAAAAGTAGGGTGGTACAAAAAGAAATTAAAATATAACAAACATACATTTTATATGATCCTAACATACACAACGATGCACAGGTGAAAAGTATTCTAGATATCATAAAGCAAAAAATATATCAAGATTATCATCAAATACCACAACAAATATAAAGACAGAATATAGATGTAATTAATGTCTACTCCTTAAATATTTCAGAACAAGATAACAGTGCTAGGTTTGAAAGAGCCTGTTCCTGAATCATTAGAAAATCTGTAGATGATTATATTTAGTTACAACCAGACAACAATTCAACAAAGTATGTATTCTAAACAGTAATCTTTAAATATTTAAAAGTGTATATTTACTGTACATAGTTATCATAAAATCATCTTAGTATTCAGCTACCCAGACAAGAGTTTTTATTCACAATTTTAGTGCACAAAGAAATTGTCTGTTAGTTAAGTAAAATAACTTACTTGCAACAACTTGGCCGGCACAAAGATTTTGCAAAACTGACACTCTTTTTGCCTGTATTCACATTCGTTTTGTATATGTTGTTGAAAATTGGTACTCGTCAGTGATGTTTCACATCCAAATTCATGGTTTGGACATGTAATTGGCTTAAACTTGCAATTGCTCATGTGACCCTTAATATTAAAAAATGCATATTACAGTATTTTAAAAGAAAATTAAAAATGAACTATTACAAATAAAATCAATCATTATACTACATTTATAGGTTGAAATGTAAATGAACATTATGTAAACTAAATGTGTCCATAGGACATGGCTACTCCCACATTCTACTGTTTTGTCAGTCTACTGACATACAACAAAACAGTATGACAATGGAAATTCTACAAGACTCCCCCTAGTGGTTAAGACATAAAAACTACATCCAGCTTTTTACTATGTTGCCATCTTAATTTGCCCAATAAAGAGCTACAAGATTTTCAAATCACAATTTTATATCCTATAATATGCTTAAAAGAAAAATAAAAACAACAAATCCCAGATACCTAACTATATTCGTCTAGTTCCATGAACCTAGGTCAAATACTTTTTAGTTTTAGAGTTAGGCACAACAAAAGTTGAAAATTGCAAATTTTTACTATATCAATCTTCATGTAAATTTCTTGACTTAGTAGCTCAAGCACTTTTAGAGCCACATGTGACACAACCTTAAATTGGCAGACAGGCAAGGACAAATCTAATATCCCTCCCCCTCACTGAGTCTATTTTATTACTCTATTTCAATTGTTTGAATAGATACAATAGATACAAGTAAATAATAATTATCAGAACTGTCTGAAAGATGTTTTTCTTTCTGCTCAAATTATAGCTTCATAGTTATGAGCTGTCATTTTCTTTATTGAAATAAATTGAGAAAACCTTGTGAATGGTACATGTACTCTAGTATCTTATCAATTAAAGAACATACTTGAAGGTCTTTCCATCTAACAACTTCATCACAACCCTTGTCTTTGTAATCGCAATAAACTTTCAAATTCCTTATTTCCCTTCGTCCGCTGGGATCTGGTGTTATCTGTGTCAGAAAGAAAAAAAATGTACCAAGTCTTTTAGATTATTTGCTCAATGGAAGATGACATGACTCAGAAACATGAATTACCAGTAAAATACTCTGTATTTACAATTCTTTTAATTGATTATTTGAATAACCTAATTATTTCCAAGATCAAAAAGTAACTTTGATTGTTCTATAATACCAGTGCACATTGAATTATCTCCCTTTTGGAAGAACTAATTGTTGTCCTTACAAATATGCATACTCATTTTGTTCAATATCAATTCATAATTTATAATGGCAATTGATAATTTTATGTTAATGCATACAATCAAACATATTATTAAAATGTTATTGAAATTATATCTTAAAGACCCATAATGCCCTAAAAGTGCTCCTATTTCTCAAAAAAAAAATTTTAGTAAATATTATATACTGTACTCAATTGCCAATTACCTGAACAATGTTTTGCTACTATTGCTTTTTTGCAATTAGTACACTGGAAGTCAATATACTACTTTGTTTACATTTTGCTACTTTTATGACAAATAATTTCACATTCATCAGGTAAGAGAGAGAAGCATCTAGCATGCTCTTAAACAATTATTTAAGAATTATTAGACTCATGTTTACTACCAGTATTAGTATTAAAGAAAAAAAAATACATGTATAGAGGTATTGTTTACTTCCTGCTTGTCAATTTACATCAGGGAGATAATACCAATTTACTTATCTCATATGTGTATAAATAAATGTACTCCCTTAATCTTATCACTGAAAAATATACAGTTGTCTATCAAGAATAGATCTTTAAACTACCTTTTAACCAATTTACTTTATCTCATAAATAATTGTTTTAAGGTTTGGAGTGTGATTTGGAAATTTGACAGACCCTTTGCTTATCTAAAACTTTTTTTCTGAAATTTATCATCAGGTAAGATTTTTGAATAAATATAAATAATGCTTCAATCAAAAGAAAAAACTAATTCAGAGCTCTCAATATGCTAAGCTTAAATGCAGATTATCGAATTTCATTGACCAACCTGTGCAAGTATTTACCTTCCTGGTTTACATTTCTTTCACATTGATCATTCAATTTCCATTGTTTTAGTTCAAAATTGTTATTGTTTATAATCATTTTGAAATTTGACACTTGGACGATAATGAAATACCCATTTAGGTATTTCGGAAATGATAAAGAAAAAATCTATATCAGCCTTGCTGACCTTGACCCAAATGACTCATGTAAAATTGATTTTGATATAATAGGCCTCTATATCATTGATTTTAAATATCAAATGTATTGGTTAATTTATAAAGGCTCTCTGGATAAATGTCTATTTCAGCAATCTAAGAAACACTTCAGGTAGGGCAAATGTTCTAATAAATAAACTTATATCATAATTTAAATTTCTTTATACATATCCACTTGACAATTTTAAAGATATCTCAGCTAATCTAACTACATGTATAAACCTCAAATCTTCTTATAAACTGTTTTTTATATGAAGGTGTAGATTTATATTAAAGCTAATTATATGATTTTAATCAGATTGATATTAAAACTTTTATTACCAGCAGTAACTCAGATATGCAATAGATTGGTTCCAGATATACCATTGTGTAAGAACTTATTACAAGGCATTACAACAGGATTTTTCTTACCATTTAGCCATTGTTTCAGATAAAATGATTCCAAGAGATAAATGGACAGAAATCTATGATGGACAAATTATAAAAAGTCATGCTGAGGTAAGCTACTAAAATATTTTATCAACAATATCTTTACACATACATCAGTTCTGCATTGTGGCTCACAATCTTCTTCATTAGCAGGACACATGACTGGTTCTGACTTTCCTTCAAATAACTTGGCAATACATCTCTCACAAATCCTGTGCCCACAGCTTGTCTGCATTGCCTCCTTGAGCACTTCCTTACATACCAGGCAGTCATACTTGGAATCATGTCGAAAAAACTTTGGGTTTTCTTGCAGTTCCAACGATGAATTACTTGTCATCATGTGCTAAATTAGCGGAAATAAACAACAACAACATACTTTCAGAATGAAGTAAACTTATTTTTCACATAAAATTTATTACTTATATACTCCTTGTTCTAGTATAGTGCATACATTATAATTATGATTATTGGAATTACAGTACAGTATCGTTTGTGTCGGTAAACTTACTGGAACTATCAAAAAAGCATTCATATATTTATAATACCTGTAGGATGTTTTTGGGCTCAGATGGAAGGGCTAGGCCATTTTTAAGCCCCTCTTCCTTTGTCAAACTTTTGCCACTACTTCATGTTGGTCTCAGCACTAATTCAAATATTTATATGCACATATACAGGTTTCAGTAAACAATGCTGTATATATCATAAAGCATAATGCTACACTTAACATCTTAAATTTGGTATGGTACTTCTCAGGTCCAGTGTTGATCCAGCTTGATTTTAAATTCATGGACACTTAGAATTTACTACATTCTTAGGTTAATCATTCCATGTTTTCATTACTTGTTGAGAAAACTGATTCAAGCTAAAAGTTGTTCTAATAAGAGGCATAAGTTACTTCTTAAACTTTACTTGTTCATTGCCCTTGAATTGATATAAGCTGAAAGCATAGCCTACTGTAGACAATGCTTTATGCAAGCATGATACTTTTTGCCATTTTGGGCGTTTTTGTGCTTTTATAATTTTGACCAAACTGGTTTAATTTTGTTTATATCATTTTAAACATGTTACCAGTAGAGTTTCACTCTGTCAGCATTTATATTCCTGTAGTATTCCAGTCCTAAACCGAAAGTAGGGCAACACGCTTTCGACAAAATGGCGACAAATTTGTGGGCAGCACGAAATACCCAAATATACCCAAATCGGTATGCCTAAAATACGAAAGTGAGATTTTTGACGAAAGTGAGCGAAAGTGAGCGAAAGTGACTTTTAAAATTTGAATTGTACCGTTTTAATAGAATTTCACAGTGATTTTTTTTTGTTTGTAGGCGTAAATTATTAGCAACTAATAATATTTCTTTTCAAAAATAATCACTGTGATGATTTAATCGCCATTTATTTGCATAATTTCTATACAGAAGTTCTGTGATCTTCCTTTCGCTCACTTTGAAAAAATACGAAAGTGACTTGTAAAATTTTTAATATAGAGTTTAAATTGAAATTTATACTAAAATTGCAAATTCCAGACGTATATTCTCAGTAATATATAATATTTATTTTCAAAAATAATCATTATGATGATTTTATCACCATTTGTTTGCATAATTTCTATACACAAGTTCTGAGATCTTCCTTTCGCTCACATAAAAAATACGAAAGTGACTTGTAAAATATGAAATATAGCGTTGAATTGAAAGTTATACTAATACTGCATTTTTCAGGCGTATATTATCAGAAATTAATATTATTTGTTTTCAAAAATAATCATTATGATGATTTTTTTACCCCATTTTTTTTTACATAATTTCTATATATACAAGTTCAGCAATCTTCCTTTCGCTCACATAGAAAATACGAAAGTGACTTCTAAAATATCAAATATAGTGTTTAATTGAAATATAGTGTTGAATATCAAATTATTAATTTCTGATAATATACGTTTACAAACTGCAATTTAAGTACATTTTCAATTCAAACTCTATATTTGATATTTTACAAGTCACTTTCGTATTTTTCAATGTAAGCGAAAGGAAGATCGCTGATATTGTATATAGAAATTATCAAAAAAAATGGGGTATAAAACTATAAATCATCATAATGATTAATTTAGAAAATAAATAATATTAATACCTTATAATACACGTCTACAAACTGCAAATTTAATACATTTTCAATTTAAACTCTATATTTAATACTTTACTAGTCACTTTCGTATTTTTCTTTGCAAGAGAAAGGAAGATCGCAGAACTTGAATATAGAAATTAGTCAATAAATGGCGATTAAATCATGATTATGGTTATTTATTATATACTTATAAATGAAATATTGAGAAATATTGATGAAATAAAATGCGTATTTTTATTTTCCGTATTTTCACTGTAAAAATTTATTTTTCACTGCAGTGAAACATATTTTCCGTATTTTCACTGGTGTCTTGCCGGACTACTTTCTTTTAAATTCTACCAGTACACAAAATTTAAGGGAAAGTTTTTCAAATTTTATTGCAAAAAAGAGAAAAATGTACATAATAAACAGAAAATTCAAGTTTTTTCTATAAATACATGATTTATTTTCATCTTGTGGCATGAAAATTACCATATTTCACTCGTGGCTACCGCCACTCATGAAATACTTATTTTCATACCACTCGATGAAAATATATCATGTATTTATAGAAAAAACTTGAATATCCTCTATTTATTATAATATATATAAATAGTTGCTAATGATATACGTCTACATACAGAAATTTTACTGTAAAAATCTATTAAAACGGTATAATTCAAATTCTAAAAGTCACTTTCGCTCACTTTCGCTCACTTTCGTCAAAAATCTCACTTTCGTATTTTAGGCAAACCCATACCCAAATATACCCAAATATACAAAATATTGCCCAAATATACCCAAATATTGCCTAAATATACCCAAATAATGCCCAATTATACTAAAAATAAATGTTTTATACTAAAAAAGTGCTGTTTTAATCATGAATACAATATACACTTTCACTAAGATATAATCAAACGTACCCAAATATACAGTACATTTTCCTATCATTGTGTTTTGAACCAAAATACAGTAGGATATATGAACTCCATTAAAGCTATTTTCTAATAACATGGACATTTGTATATGATATGTAATTTCAATAAAATTACACCTTAAAAATGTAGAAAACAAATATCATATCTTGAATTAAAATTGCAAGTACATTCATAAAGAACCTATATTGTAGATAAGCAAATGTCACAACTTTATTTTCTTACAACATCTTTAAAACTGCCCATTTCAACGGAATGAATGAAAGCTTTAGCAGGCTAAGTCATATTATTTAATAAATATTTATTTATTTCTCATTATAATCTATATTTTATACAAACAAAAATAAATATTGCTATATTTGGGTGTATTTGGGTATATTTGGGTATTTCGTGCCGCCGCAAATTTGTTTAAAGGTGACAGGGGTATATTCGAATGATGGCCCCGGGTCAAACTCAGACATGGTGTTTTTAAGGTACTGGAAACGTCTGATATTTCTCTATCATTGTAATTCTTTCTTGTTTGTGTGTAGGAAATGAGAAGTATTTTTGTTTTTTTACCCGACACTAAGCAATTTGGTAGCTTTGTATCGATTTCGAGTCAATTCGGCCCCAAGACGTATCGGCCCCAAATTATCTAAGACATTTCGGCCCCCGACGTTTCGGCCCTTCACCAAATCGGCCCCATATTTAGTTAAAAATAAGTCTTACCTTTAACGTGTTTTATACCAGAATTTTAATAGCATATAAATAAATGAAAGGGTAAAAGGAATGAGAGAATTAATTTGAATATTTCAATTATGATTTTTAATTTCAAATGAGGCTAAAATAGTAGTAATCAAAACAAACAGAACATAAACTTTATTAAAAAAAAAAAACATAGTACACGAACACTGTGTAAGAATTATAGTTCTTAGTTGTAAATTTATTAATTATAATCACATAAGTTTCATAGTTTGATTTTTCCGATAGTATTTATTATTAAAGACATTGTTTGACTCTTTCAATTAAAGATAGCTTCACTATTTCCGCCAAACGTAACGTCTTATTTTGTTTCCCGTAAAAAGACGTCATTAAATTGTTTTACGGTGACGTCATTAACCGTTACTTTGATATGTTGTTTTGCCTAGGGCGGAAGTGATTAAATTGTTGATGTGTTTTGTTTATTGATGTTTTCCAATGGAAAGTAGATCATAATCGGTAAGCAAGATATTAATTATGTATGAATTTTAATAGTAATTAAATTCAATCTTTTTTAAATGATGATGAACTTTACAATATTTGCCGTGAATTAAATTATAAACCGAATTGTTTGCGGAAATACAAAATAACATTATTATTTGCATAGATTTAAGTCTATAATTGTAAAGGTAATATCGTATATTTATGATTTGTATTAACATTATTATTTTAGACAATTTATTGTATTTTATTTTAAATGCGTTGTAATCAGTATTTAGTTTGTTTATTTTATTAATTTCAGAGAATCGCATTGTTGTATCACATTGATATAATATGAAATTAGGCAAAGCCTATGGACGGGGAAGTCGTTAAAAATTCCTTTCATTCTTCCGTTTAAAAGGTGTCATTCGGTTTTACATGCACCGCTTCCGTTTTCACTCGGAACACTCGACGATTATCATTTATCCGAAAAGTCGAGATTTGTACCGTTATCGGAATACCCCGCCATTCATCATTGAGTTACATTGTAAATGGCGGCGCCCGACTAGAACTGACACTGAAAATTTCTTTGATAGGTATAGAATTTTATATATTTTTTAATTGTTTTTTATGTGATTTTCTTTTAAATATACACGTGTAGTCTATAGCCGGGCAAGCCAAAGCCCGGACCCGCTTCGCGGGCCCGGTCTTTGACTTCCCCGTATTATTCCATGAATGAGAATAAAGAAAAGTGTTGAAATCTGCGCATTCTTGACTATTTTTAACGGAAAACATTTACAATTCTCGATTTTACTGTGACGAAAATGCCGTCAACAAATAGTGTGGAAACTTTGAACCCGGAGTTTGTCAGTTCGAAGAGATCAAGAAGTGCAAATGGCGCTCAACTGACGAAACTATATAATGAACTTGAAAAGAGCATGATGGCCTACAATAATATTGAAGAGGTAAAACTACTGAAGAATAAATTATGTGAACGCTTTGAACATTTCAAATCAGTGCATTTACAATGTTTAGATTTGTGCGCGCAACCGGAAGTTGTTGCAGACTTGGAAGCGAACTTTGAGAGCTGTTTAAAGAACTTTGAAGAATTCAGGGAAAGATTTTCTCAGTGGATCGCGGGAGCTATTGGACCGCATCATGGAGAAAATATTCCTATAGAAAATGACGCAGAGTCAAATGTCAGCCATGGAAGTTCACGTACTTCAGTCTCGTCGCGCCGGAAATTACAAAGTGGAAAAGCAAAGCGTTTAATAGCAGAACACAAATTAAAACAACTTAAAAAGAAACAAGAACTTGAACGAGCTCGCCGGGATCTTGAAATGAAACAACAGATGTTAGATCAGCAGTCGAAATTAGAAGAAGCAGAGATAGAAGAAATGGTGTGGTTAGAAACAACACAGGAAGAAACCGGGGTCATATCTAACAATCAAAATGCTCAGCCTGACGTACAAAATAATATGACTGATCATATTCAGGTGAACAGCCGTACAGATTCTGTGAGAAATATAACTTTGATACAGCCAGACCGGAAATGAACATATCGTGTATACCGGAAGTTGACAGTGAGACATCGAACATAGACAGATCATTTCAAAGATTGGCGTCAGCACTTCATGAAGGATTCAATTTACCGAAGCCAGAACTATTGACATTTGATGGGAAGCCTGAAGGATACAGCAAATATTACAGTAATGATAGACCAAAGGTTACTACTCTGAGTACACATACTGAAGAAAACGGTCATGAAAGTAGTAAATGCATTTGTTGTTCAGGTAACTGTGCAGAGTTATCACTGTGTAACAAGTTCAAGTCAATGAGTCTCAATGATCGTTATAAACTGGTAAGATCACTTAAATTGTGTTACAATTGTTTAAAAGGTAAACATTTTACAAACAAGTGTAGAAAACAAAAAATATGTAATGTGACTAATTGTAATGTAAAACACCACATTTTGTTACATAGTTGGGTAAAACCCGATAATGGCTACACAGCAGTGCAGTCGTCGTGTAACTGTGCAGCAACAGAAGGTTCTACTGTAAAAAAATGTCTGGGTATTATTCCTGTAATAGTTAGGGGTGGGGACGGTAGTTCTTGTCAGACATATGCCCTGCTAGATGATGGGGCCGGTAAAACCTTATGTGATGAAAGATTGTTACGGAGCTTGAATATAACCGGTAAGCCCGTCACATTCCGGATGTCTACGGCAAACTCACGTGAAGGTATTTACATGGTCAGGAGGCCGACTTAGATATTCAACCTATCGATGGAAATGAAAGTATTACCCTAAGAAAAGTCTGGTCAGTAAAGTCATCACCGATATCAACTCGATCTGCAGCTAAATATGCAGATATCCGAAACTTACCGTACTTATCCGGTATAAATATTCCATATATAGACACTAATGACGTTATGATGTTAATATGGACGGATTCACCTATTGCACATATACCGCTAGAAGTGAAATTCGGAAATAGCGATGAAACGTACGCGATACGCACTCGTCTTGGATGGGCTATACGCGGTCCAGTTCCAACTACGCAAGAATCCAACGATATTAATATAAATTTCTTTGAGTCACGTGACATGTTGTTACAGCAACAAATTGAGCGTTTGTGGACAACTGACATTAATGATAAATCACAACAAGTGAAGAGTTGCATGTCTGTAGAAGATAAAAATGCTATGAAATCCATGGAGTCAACTTTAACTCGCGAGGATGGTCATTACAAGCTTGGTCTTCCTTGGCGTGATAGAAATTCATCATTCGTAAATAATAATTACCGCTTGCCCAAGCCAGATTACAGCAGTTGAAGCGCAAGTTGTCAAATGACAATAATTTGCATGACATGTACAGAACTACTGTGAATGATTACATTGCGAATGGATATGCCTCAGAAGTTGATCACAATGTACCAGAAACAAAGCGGGTTTGGTATTTGCCGCATCACCCCGTGATAAATGTTAACAAGCCGGGAAAAGTACGTGTAGTGTTTGATTGTGCTGCTAAATACAAAGGAATGTCGCTTAACAGTCAACATTTGCAAGGACCTGATTTAATGAACAGTCTAGTCGGTGTACTCATAAAGTTTAGACAGGAACGAATAGCATTTATTGCAGATATTGAAGCAATGTTTCACCAAGTTCGTGTTATCGAGGAAGATCGTGATGCTTTAAGGTTTCTCTGGTGGCCTAATGGAAAATTGGACAAGATTCCTAAGCAATATCGCATGAATGTCCATTTATTTGGTGCTACATCTTCTCCGAGTTGTGCTGCGTATGCACTTTTAAAAAAGAACTGCGAAAGATTTCTCCCATATGTTTAAACCGGAAGTTGCGCTGACAGTTGAGAAGAATTTTTACGTTGATGACTGTCTAAAGTCTGTCCCATCTGAGCAGGAAGCTATTGATTTGGCTATGAATTTAAAGAAAATGCTGTCTTTGGGAGGATTTCGCTTAACAAAATGTTTTAAAGGCAATACCGGAATCAGATCTTGCCAAATCGGTTGTCAGCTTAACCCCTGGTGAAAAATGTAATGACAAAGCATTGGGTATTATTTGGGACGTAAACAATGATACAATTAAGTACAAGGTTGACTTAAAAGGTAACTCTTCACGAGGCGCGGGGATATAACACAAAGGGTTTAAAAATTTGGGGACCCTTTTGGTTTTGTGTCGAAATTTTAAATTTAAAAGAAAAATTTTATTTTTTCAGATCTTTTGTAGAGAAAAAACCCTAGGCGGGGGAAGAAAATTTCCCGGACAACTTGATGAGAAGGGCCCAAGGGGTTTTTTTACGTTTCCTGGGCGATTTCCCGGACATCACGATAGATCGATTTTTTCCTACCCGGGTTTTTGGATCAGAAATGAATGCACATTTGGGCATATTTTCAGTGAGGGGTTCGGAATTTGGTTACGGCGAAATGCGCGTATTTGGACTCATTTGGGAAAAACAGGGGGGAATAAAAACATGCTTCTCGTCAGGGGGTTAAGATTGCCCTGGGGCCCCCATAAAAACAAATAATATCCCGGGGACTAAAACTATTTTGGAGCTGTGGTTGCTTGTCGCTTATATCAATGTCTTGCTGAGGAACTCGATATTAAGATAGATGAAGTTACGTTTTGGACGGATTCCATGATACTACTAGGATATATCAGAAATACTTCAAGAAGATTAAAAACGTTCGTCGGAAATAGGCTTAGCATCATTCATGATACTACAAGTCCAAATCAATGGCGCCATATTGATTCAAGTTCAAATCCAGCAGACATAGCTTCAAGAGGTATCAACGCTTCTGAAACAGACAAATTAGATGTTTGGCTGCATGAACCAACATTTCTTAGTAAAGGTAGAGAACACTGGCCTAAGTATTCAGGTAATATTATCCCGGAAGTGAGTGAAGATGATGTTGAGGTAAACCGAAGTGAGTGAAGATGATGTTGAGGTAAAGAGAGAAATTGCTATTAACGTTACCATTTGTGACACTATTGGGAAGATAATTGAATACTACACTGATTGGTTCAAACTTAGACGTGCAGTGGCATGGTTTTTGAGATACAAGGATTATTGCAAACAGCGATATCTGCATCATGATGTAGTGGTTGAAAAAGGTAATCTCACCTTGTCTGAACTTAAGACATCTTCTCACGCAGTTGTGAAATACATTCAGATGGAATGCTTTGCCGATGAGGTAATAAACTTGCAAAAAGGAACTAATGTTAAAGGTGAAAGTCCGATAGCTTCATTAAATCCTATACTTAGAGATGGTTTAATACGTACAAAAGGTCGCATTATTTACCATGATGAAACGAAATGTCCAATCATTCTACCGAAACGGCATCATTTGACTACTTTAATGATACGTTTTTACCACGAAAGTCAAGGTCACGTCGGAGTACAACAAGTTTTAGCAGCTACACGAACAAAGATACTGGATATTAAATGGACATAGCGCTGTCAAACAGGTAGTAAGGAATTGTGTACCATGTAAGCGCAAAAATAATCCACTTTGTAAGCAACAAATGGGACCGTTACTTGATGAGCAAATCACACCAGATAAACCACCGTTCTCATTTATCGGCATAGACTTTTTTGGTCCTTTGATGGTAAAATTAGGAAAGTCACAAGTAAAGAGATATGGATGTATTTTTTCTTGTTTAACATCAAGGGCCGTCCATTTAGAAGTTACTCATAGTTTGAGTGCAGATTCGTTTATCGCCGCATTGCAACGATTTATTAGCCGGAGAGGTCTACCGGAAAAGGTATATAGTGACAACGGAACCAATCTCGTTAGTGGAGATTGTGAATTGCGCAAGTCCATACGAGAGTGGAATCAATCCGAAATTGGACAATTCATGTTGCAGCGGGAAATCGAATGGAACTTTAACCCTCCGTTAGCTAGTCACATGGGCGGTATATGGGAACTGATGATACGATCAACACGTGCAATTTTGAGATCGTTAGTCAAAGAGCAGCTTCTGACAGATGAACAACTTCTTACTGTTGTAATAGAGGTTGAAAAAATACTTAATGATAGACCGATTACCCGAGTAAGCGATGACCCAAAAGACCCCCAGCTCTAACTCCAAGCATGATTTTATTACTAAAGTCCTATACATGTATTCCACGTGGCATTTTCAGAAAAGAAGATACATATGCAAAGAGAAGGTGGAGACAGGCTCAGTATCTTGCTGATATATTCTGGAAACGATGGATTCGGGAATATATACCTACCCTACAATCTCGACAAAAATGGCTGAGACCACAAAGAGATATCCGTGAGGGCGATATTGTACTCGTGGCTCAGGAAAACATACCAAGGGGGCAGTGGCCATTGGGCAGGGTTGTAACTATAAATGTGGGTCGGGACGGGCATACACAAAGCTGTGTGGTCAAAACTAGTATGTCACAATTCATAAGACCAATAACTAAACTTTGCCTACTAGAATGTTCTATTTAAATCGTAAAGGTATACATTACAATAAGCTATTGTTTGTATAAGATGAAATCGTAACGTTTCATGGTGGGGAGTGTAAGAATTATAGTTCTTAGTTGTAAATTTATTAATTTTAATCACATAATTTTCATAGTTTGATTTTTCCGATAGTATTTACTATTAAAGACATTGTTTGACTCTTTCAATTAAAGATAGCTTCACTATTTCCGCCAAACGTAACGTCTTATTTTGTTTCCCGTAAAAAGACGTCATTAAATTGTTTTACGGTGACGACATTAACCGTTACTTTGATATGTTGTTTTGCCTTGGGCGGAAGTGGTTAAATTGTTGATGTGTTTTGTTTATTGATGTTTTCCAATGGAAAGTAGATCATAATCGGTAAGCAAGATATTAATTATGTAAAAATTTTAATAGTAAATTCAATCTTTTTTAAATGATGATGAACTTTACAATATTTGCCGTGAATTAAATTATAAACCGAATTATAATTTGCGGAAATACAAAATAACATTATTATTTGCATAGATTTAAGTCTATAATTGTAAAGGTAATATCGTATATTTATGATTTGTATTAACATTATTATTTTAGACAATTTATTGTATTTTATTTTAAATGCGTTGTAATCAGTATTTAGTTTGTTTATTTTATTAATTTCAGAGAATCGCATTGTTGTATCACATTGATATATTATTCCATGAATGAGAATAAAGAAAAGTGTTGAAATCTGCGCATTCTTGACTATTTTTAACGGAAAACATTTACACACTGAAACATATTTTATCTGATTATTATCATCAAGTCTTTTTTTCAAATTTGAACGACTAAAGAGCAACACACAGAACAATACAAAAAATTATTATCAACAACTATTAAATTAATGGTGAGTGAATAGTTTTGGCAATACAATACAACACATAACAGTTAAAAAAATAAGATAAAAGAAACAATACTTTGTAAACAGACATTTTTTCAGTAAAAGTGATAGATTTTCAATCAGAGCATATATTATCAAGAAATTATATCAAATCATAAGTTAAAAAATCTTTGATATTACTTACGGCTGATTAGCAATACGCTTTAAATAATTAATTTGTTAAACCTTGAGAAAACATAAATCTAAAGTGTTAGCTAAATGATTAATAGAGATCAAAAGATAATGATTTTTGAAGTATATTTGAAATTAATTTTGTTAATCAAAATGTTTTTGCATTTGTCAACTGTCTTATAAATTAAAGACTAAGTGTCTTTATTTAGGTGTATTTATTGTTAAACCTTAATTTACAAATTTAATATAAGAGACAGTTTTGAAATTGAAGTGGATATTTGAGGTTCTAAATGTTTACAGTTACTATATTTCAAGTTTCAATGACTAGTATTGTGTTTCAGTTATTTAGTAAAATTGAAGTTAGTGGCGTTGACCCTTGCTTTTTGAGAGAGTACCTGTCGGATGCGAACGTGTGGTTTTTGGAGCTAGCCGGTGAATCAGCTCTTCAGCAGAAGACTTAGAATAGTGAAAAAAGTAGGTGGATGGCACCCCGTTTGGATGTTATTTTCAGATTGTGCATTGTTTAAGAAGGAAGAAACACTATAGCTCGTGATTTAATTTTTTGACGTTAATATATTGTTGTATTTTGCGAATAGGAGTAATCCACTCTTTTTGTCGTTGATTTTCGCGACCAAAACAATGAAAAACACATGGCTATGTGCCAAAAAACAAGAAGGTGGACATGTATTTTTAATTGTTTGCTGTGAGATACATATGTATATGTTAAATATGAAATGCATTTATTTCAGGTATGTGATTACAGACCTGTGTGTGAGGTTTTGATTGTGGCGCAGTCAGTTGTTTGCCGAGAAGCCTTGAAAGCTGTGTATTTCCCCCTTATGATACAAGTGGGCAACTGGAAGCAATCTCATTAAAATCAGATCATCGTTTTCGCTCCGTTACTCTTCGCTACGTACCTTTCGAGCGTAGGGTAGTGAAGATGATTTTAATGAGATTGCAACTGGAGGTAATTGGCAATCACTGAACTTGATTTTTGCAATCACTGTACTTGATTAGATGATATTTTTGCTATTTATGTTACTTATATAAGAAGTTTTACTGGTGAAATCGATTGCAAGCTTTATTTTCAGCTAACCACAGAGTTAAAAGTCCTAAGTTGACACTATTTATTTATTTTTTACCTGTTTAAAACATTTGCTACGGAATAGTTAATTATTTTTAGATCATAAACTGATGTCATATATGTACTTTATCCATAATAAGTTAACAATTTAAAATGAATGATTGATTTCAAACATGGAACACATATATTTTAATGACAGAAAAGTGCACAGTTTATCTAATAGTCAAAGGCAATTTGTTACGGAAGCATATTCTTCTATTATTTTTTTGAGCACCATAACACTAACATTTAGTTTGTTTATAAAAACTATTCCAGTGTGTTTTTTATTACAAAGATATATGAAAATGGTGTCCAATATTAACTAGAACTCTAATATGATTTGTATTGTGTTGTAAGGTTGCAGCTTTCTGTTACGGAACATACCAACTTTGTTACGGAACAACGTATTCATAAATGCTATGATTGAATATGATTTCTAATGTTTTCAACAATTTATAAAATACCAAAATTGTATCATTATGTCACTTACATTATCTAAAAGTTTTAGAATAATAATCATGAAAAAGTTATAATAATAATGATGATATTAATATAATAATGATAATAATGATGATTATTATGATAATTGTTATATTAATAATAATAATCATGATAAAAATAATAATTATAATGATGTTCATGAATCAAGGTTAATTAGTTTATAATATGCACTGATTTTCTATTTTAGAATGATTATTTTTAAATGCAGAAAAACAATTAAAATGGAGACAAAAGCAGACAGGGGAAAACAAATCATTTAAAAGAGAGAAAAAGAAAGCAGAAGAAAGTATGAGAAAGAGCACTGGTGAAAAAATGTAGAGGACTACATGAAACATTATAACAATAGAACAAATTTGTGTAAATTAGTCGGGCATAAAGCAAATAAAACTGAAATAATAAGAATTCTTGTTCATTTTCAGTGAAAAAAAAAACCACATTTTATTTTTATTTTCCATAACATATCTTCCGTAACAGATATCTTTGCATGCGCTACTCATTAAAATTAAACTATTGGTGTGTTTTGAATTGATACAGTGTTTTATGATTAATGTTGTTTGTCATGATACCACATTTACATCAAAAGTAATTTTAAAGAGTGAAAATAGAGAGTTATCCTATGTTTTATAATTATTCACCTATGTTCCGTAACAGATCGATGAACATTTGTGCAGCGTAACGTTACACCGATTAAAAGTTATACTTTACTTGTTTTCTGCTTCTATTTTAGATATAATTCGATAACTTTTATGACAGTTTTTGTTTTTCGTTTTCTGTAAATACGAACAGTGCTCCCCTTTAAAAATGGCCGAGTCTATTTGTTTATTGCATCAGAAAAAAGCATCGTATGTTTAATTGTCCTGTTTCAAGTGAACGACCATAGTTTTTCATTAATGAATTTACCAAGTCGGCATCATGTATGTACAATGTACATGTCTTTCAATTTGTCATCAGCAGCATTGCTTTCCTACGATTTTGTTTCTTCGAACTAAAATAATTATAAATATATGTCTTTAATTAAAGATACATGTAAATCTTTTTTCAGCTTGTATACTTAAACTCCTGTTTATAACTATATTAATTAATTAAGTGTTGCCCTAGAAGTAATTTTGGTAAGCTTAACTTGTTAACCTTGAAAAAGGCGACATATAGGGGTTACTTTTGTCGACGGCGTCGATGTCGGCGTCTCCTTAAGCTTGTCCAGAGCATAAGTAAGTCAAATGGACTCCAAACTTGGTATGCATTCTTCTTATAATGACTCGAAGAGCAGTGCACAAGAAATGGTTCTATGCACTACTTCATTTTTGAGTTATTGCCCTTTGTTAACCCTTTGTAAATGTGGTATCATGACAAACAACATCAATCATAAAACACTGTATAAATTCAAAACACACCAATAGTTTTTTTGAGTTATTGTTCTTTTCTATTTTCTAATTTTATTTTTGTTACCAGTCCATTTCTCATAAATTTTCAAAGCTATGGACTTGAAACTAAATAGGATGATAGATCTTATTGATATGAAGTGCAGTGCACCGGAACTGGTACTCTGTACTTCTTATTTTTTGAGTTATTGCCCTTTGTTAATTTTCATAGGATGTTTTTCTCATATTACGCTGGATCTCATTGAGAAGAAGTGCAGTGCACAAGAACCGATACTCTGTACTTTATGATTTTAGAGTAATTGCCCTTTGTTAATTATAAAACTTTATTTTTGTTTGGGCCAATTCTCCTACACTTCAAAAACTATTGACTTGAACTTTCATAGGATGAAGAAGTGCACAAGAAGTTGTACTCTGCACTTCATAATTTTTGAATTATTGTCCTTTGTTAATTTTCTTACTATAGGCTTGTCCAGAGCATAATTTGGTCACTATAATTGTGATTGACTCAATTTGGTATGTTAGCTTTTATCATTGACCTGAAGTGCAGTGCTTAAGAATCCACCTCATAGTCCTCCATTTGATCTGTCAGTGTAAACTTTTCCATGGTATTTTTTATTTTTGATAATATAACAGTTTCATTAATCCTGATGTAGCATTGTTACAATCAGTTCAAACGCCACTAAAGTTAAAGGTACATGTACATTGTAAGAGCAGTGTTTCAGAAGAAAATGTCTAAGTGACAGCTATATTGTTCACAAGGCGACACATCCGACTCTAGTATGAGCAGCATCAAGTAGAATGCAGTTTCCTTTGATTTGATTTCCTTTGACCGCATGGGTTCAAACCCTGTCGAGGACAAGCCGTTGTTTCCTTGAGCAAGAAACTCTACATTCATTGCTTAGAACTGGTTGGTTCCAGGAATCAGCTTCCAAGACAAATGGACTAAAATGAATTTGTATAAACTAAACTAAGAGTATATTTTGTTTCCTTTCCGAAATTTGCACTTAAAGAAAAAAACTTAATAAATGCTTTATTTATATTAGAGTTTTTTTTATTGCATCAAATCTATAATATAGCTGTTCACCTATAGTCCTAATCAAAGCAAAGCATTCGACGGAATTTAGAACGTAAATTCCATTTATAGAATACATGAATCAAAACATTTAGATACATCAATTTTAATGTGTAGCAAGTAACTGTTGTTAATTATGCAAGTAGCTAATTATTTTTGCCGATTGATGCACTTTTAAAGAAGCACATGTAGTCAAACTAATTGTAATACGCGTTTAGTTATTGTGATATTTTTCATATGGGCAATAACTCCAAGGCTCTGACCCAGAACAAAATATCCCAGAATCTAGCTTAACGCGTCAAAATAATTTTACAAGAACGGAATGGTAGAGTAAATCAAGTATTTTGTTTGCTTTATGTGTTGACCACATACAATAAAGGAATTAGGCAAGAATTAAGTGAAATATAATTTCTATATTCATGGCTGAACGGCGATTCCAAGCATTTTATGATATGCTTTTAAATGGGAACCATAATGAGAAAGAAAACCAGAAAAACTGTTTCCCGGCAAGGTAAACAATAGTGCATGCAATCGTCTGGAACTGATTCCTGGCGTGCTCAGAATAATTTTAGTAGGACAGGGAGCCAAAATGGCCTCCGATGGAAAGAACGCAAACTTTTTACCCATAAATTTGCTGTACTTTCGGCGAAAGATTTCAAAAGATACTCGCGTTACCGTAATGCTCGCTCTTCGAGCTCTATACAGAAATCGTCGTGTAAAAGGAAGATTAATGCGAGTCTGGTTTTGCAATTTATTATTATGAATAAGACAAAGCCTCAAAGCGAGCTCTTTGAAAGAAATTATAGTACATTATAATTTAAATCCATCAGCGGCTACACATTTTGTGTTTTCACTACACTAAGAACTGTACACTTTCGGCTGCACTCAACACAACCACACATTATACACGACCATTTCATGTTTTATATAATATCTAAATTAAATCCACCCGTCAGAGAACATAGGCAGGAACCATTATAGGACAGGAAACCAGATTAAAGTTCGGGTAATCTGAAATTTGGCAGATCCCATGAACAAGGAAGTCGGTTGAAATAGTTATTCATTTTTATTTTTTATTTTCCGTTTTAAAAGTGTCATCTGTTTTTTATGCACTGTTTCCGTTTATTCTCGTTCCCTGTCATAATTATTATGGTTCCCATAGAAGCGCGCAGGAGACGTTTTTCGGTCAGAATTTCTCGGCTTTTATCCTTATCTTTAAGTCGAAAAGTTGCGATTGGTCTACTGCCCATAACTTTGCACGAACGTTTTAAAAACCATCACTATCTAGCAGGTACTCGCGTTTCGGTAAAGCTCGCTCTGCAGCTCGCTAATATGAAATTAGGTTCTACCTATTGCGCGGAAAGCTTTTTTATCAATAATAACATGTCCAGTATACATGTAAACAAAAAAAGGATCTTTCTTGCACCCTTCGTAAACCAATAAATGCTTGTATTTTGTACCGTACAGCAGAAACAAATAAATTGGTGATGTTCAACCTATCATCGGAGTACTCCGATGAATATTTCCGGAAATCTCTAAACTCTTCACAGTGATTTGATAGAGTCTTAATAAGAGTATATTTTGTTTTCTTTCCAAAACTGGCACGTAAAGAAAAAAAAAACTTTATGAACACCTTTTTTTATTAAGAAGACAGTAAAATCATCTGTTCTGCTTAGTTGCAGACATCAATTGACATTGAGCTTGGCTGGTTGATAAACAGGGTATCGAATTATCAAAACAAATGATACTTCCGATAAGAATGACCTGTTTAAAGGCATTGGCCTGTTTCCAGGGGCGTGTTCTTAGCATTTAAAAGAAAATGCAGTGCCTTTAGTATGTCCACCGAGACGAGTCCCCGTAGCACTACAGGACAAGCTTGAAAAAGAATTACTCTATGGTGGAAAAAGGCTATATTACAAAGGTTACAGAACCGACTGAATGGGTAAATTGTCTAGACATGTAGAAAACCCCGCGACAGGAAAATACGAGTATGCTTAGATACAAAGGCTCTTAATAAATGTATTCAAAGACCGTATTACCCAATGCGTACAATTGAATCGTAGCCGCCAAATTAACGGCCGCAAAATATTTTAGGTGATTGACGCCACTAAAAGCAACTAGTCCATTAAACTGACAGACGCATCGCCATAGCTCCCTGAAAAGGTTAATCAGAATGCTGCAATTCAGAAAATGAGAGAAAGCAAACTGACCCAAAAGTCATATTGTGATGAAGTTAAATGTAGGTGATTCGTGTAGAAAAAAGGTATCTAAACATGGGAACCAGCCGTGATCATCACAATTCACGGTGAAAGGTAAAAAAAAAATGTAAACTGACGATAATTCAATTTAAAGACGAAAAAGACATTTATCCACACTCTGCAGAAGATATCGCCAAATATTCATCACAGTTAATTACTTAAAATAATGCAACATTCCATTCACAACCTAAATGTCGCGGGGTAATTGATTCAGCCGTTCCCATACTCTTTACCCCAGACAATAATTCACCTTATCGCACGCGCAGTGGTCGGGAAGTGAATCCTAATAGGTACAAGTGTTAGCATTTCCAAAAATGCTTGTAATCGCCGTTTAGCCGTGAGCATAGTTTTTGCCTAATACCTTTATTGTATTTGGTCAACACATATAGCCAACAATACTTGATTTACCCTACCATTTCGTTCTAGTCAAAATATTTTGACGTGTACATTAAAATTTATGTCTGGGAATATTTTGATCATAGGTGATCGGCGCGTTGATTGGTCACCCCCTCCCCCTCACCCACTCTACAACCCTCCTACCTCTCAAAAATCATGTAAACTGCAGTTTTTTCATTTGAAACATGTTTTGATATTTGGTATATGCTTTTAATTCAAGTTCCTTCATTTCCCACAAAAGATAAAAAAATGATACATATATTTCCCCCCAAAAATAAAAAATTGATATATATATATTGGCAGTCAAGGTCAATTTAAGGTAAAGGACACATCTAAATTATTCAATATGTTTGTTTGGTAGCAAGTCTTGTTGTGTCCAATTTTATATGAAATCTTTACATTA